CAGAGACCCGAGGACACTGAGACACTTGTGAATACAGACATGGGGATACTAGGGAAACATGAAGACACTGGGAGACATGGGGGCACTGAGACATTTGGGGACACTGGGAGAAATGGAGACACTAGGGACACAGAGACATGGGGACACTGAAAAATTTGGGGAAACTAAGACACTATGGACAGTGAGAGACATGGGAACACAGGCAGTGGAAGACTAGGGGACACTGAGACACTAGAAGACATGGGGACACTGAGACATAGGGACACAGACACTGGGAGACATGGTGACTCTGAGTCACTAGGGACACTGAGAGACATGGGGACACAGACACTGGGAAACTGGGAGCCATGGGGACACTGGCTGGGGTCTCAGTGTCTCCCAATGTCCCTATGTGTCACAGTGTCCCCAAGTATCTCAGTGTTCCCAGGTCTCCCAGTGTCCCCTAGTGTCTGTATCCCCATGTGTCCCTATGTCTCCCTGCTGCCTTTCCCCCCATCCCTCACTTACCTGAGCTTTAGAGCTGCTGTCTGGACTCTGTGCTGTGTAGCTGCTCCCCCAAGGATCAGTGAGTAGTAGAGAGAGGCAGGGATTTGCTTTAACTTCCTATCCCTGCCTCTCTCCACACACAGTGACCCCTAATGGCCGGTGCTGGTATTGCAGAGTAATATCTGTTTCTTTTGAGAAAAATACCTGCATTTGTATTGCCGGTATTACTGCAATACCGGCACGGCCAGGCAGCCTCAAATACCAGCTGTGCCAGTAAAATACCAGTCAGGTGGCAAGAGTAGTGTGAAAAAAATGGCCCTATTACATGGGCCTGGGCCTGGAGCTGCAGCTCCCTTAGCCCCTATGTTAATCCGGCCCTGCCACCTCCTGGTAAATAAAGGGTTAAAAAAAAAAAAAAAAATTTCGATCCAGGAAGCACTCTGGGAGACAGCCACTGGAGGAAGACTTAGTGCTGCAATGTAAACATTATAGTTTCTCTGGAACTACAATGTTTAACATTGCAGCACTAAGCGCAATAGGGACACTGCACCCAAACCACTTCAATTATCTGAAGTGGTCTGGGTGCCTCTAGTTTCCCTTTAACTCAAATTTCAGATGATTTCCAATACTTTATTCACTGGTATTAATTCCCCTTTGAAGGCAGTTTGAGGATATTTAAGTAGTTAATGGTTCCACTGGAAAACGAGCGTTTGTTGTTAGTGTAATTATGTTATTTATATAGCGCCAACAAATTCCATAGAGCTTTACAGTGGGTGGACGAACAAACATGTAGTTGTAACCAGACAAGTTGGACACACTGGAACAGAGGGGTTGAGAGCCCTGCTCAATGAGCCTACATGAAGGTAAGGATAGTATTAGACTAATGACAGTTGCAAGAGAGGAATCAGTCGGGAGCTATTAACAGTTTGATGTGCTTTTATGAAGAAGTGGGTTTTTAATTATTTTTTGAAGGAGTGGAGACTGGGTGAGCATCTAACAGAGGAGGGAAGTGAGTTTCACAGGAACAGTGCAGCCGTCAAGAAGCATCAGAGGTGCGAGTACGGACAGAAGATAAACGCAAGTCTTCAGCAGAGCTTAAGGGCCTGGGACATACTTGTGTATAAGGGAGGAAAGATAGGGGGAGGAGAAAGCAGCATTATGTAGAGATTTGAGAGCAAGAACCAGAATTTTAAATTGAGCGCTATATCTTACAGGAAGCCAATGTAGGGACTGACAGAAGCGTGAGGCGTGGGAGATGAGGGCGGACAGGAAGATGAACCTCGCCACTGTATTCATTATGGACTGTAACGATGCAAGTTGGGAGCATGTAAGACCACTGAGAAGTGGATTACAGTAGTCAAGGCAAGAAAGGACAGTGAAATGGACCAGCACCTTAGTCGTATCTGGCGTTAAGTAGGGTCGGATGTGCGCAATGTTTGAGATGGAAGCGGCAGGATTTGGCTATAGACTGAACACGAGGCATGAAGGAGAGTTTGGAGTCAAAGAGAACACCTAGGCAGCGAGCCTGCATGGTGGAGCTGATGGTAGCACTAATGACTTGGAGGGAGACAGACACAGGAGTAAGAACACTTGAGGGAGAAAAGACCAGACTTTCAGTTTTGGTCAATTTTATTTTAAGGAATTGGGCAGCCATCCAGTTAGAAATAGCAGAGAGGCAGTTAGAGACACTAGTCAAGAGGGACGGGGAGAGATCAGGAGAGGACAGGTAGATTTATGTGTCATCCACATAGAAGTGATATTGGAAGCCAAAAGAGCCAATAAGTTTACCAAGGGAGGCAGTATTGATAGAGAACAGTAGGGGACCAAGGACTGAACCTTGGGGGACACCAACAGAGAGGAGTTAGGGAGAAGAAGCAAAGCCAGAGAAAGAAACACTGAAAGAGCGCTGAGAGAGGTAGGAGGAGCGCCAGGAAAGCGCAATCTCATAGACCGATCTTGCGGAGGATGAGAAGAAGCTGTTAATGAGCAACAGTGCCAAAAGCCGCAGAAAGGTCAAAGAGAATTAGGATAGATATCACAGTTTACCAGGAGTTGGAGCCCAGGTGCAGGAGATGGCACAAGGAGGAGACAAAAACCAAAGTGCAGTACAGATGAAGGGGTAATCCAAAGGCAGGGTCAGAGGAGAAGCAGAAGTAAGGGCTGGCAGCAGAGTATCGTAGTTGGTAAGGCAGGCAGAGTCCAGGAAATCAGTCAGCAGCAGAGTAACAAAGATCCAGCAGGTAAAAAAAAAAACAACCAGATACCAGGCCTCAGGCAGAGCTGGCTTTTACAGCCTGCTGATTGGGAGCAGCTGACCCTAATTGGTAAGGGGCTGCAGGCGGATCAGCATGGCTCCATCCAGCCATAGGAATTAGGTAGCAGAACAATGCAGACAGATACTGAAGCCTCCTGGTGGACAGCAGGTAGAGGAAGCTGCTGGAGCTGTGAGTTCAAATCCAGCCAGGTCTCTTGAAAGGGCACAACAATATTTTGCAGCAAGTAGATCATTGGATACTTTGGTCACAACTGTTTCAAAAGAGTGACAAGCACGAAATCCAGACTGAAGCAGGTCTAGCAGAGAGTTGGACTCAAGGAAGTCTGTCACTCTCCCATACACAACTCTATCAAATAACATAGAGTTACAGTAGCAAGATAGGATGGTAGTTGGACAATGTATGAAGCAAATAGAGAATTGCTGCTTGTTTTTAGTATTAGTGATGAATTTAAGTGGTCAATCTCAGCAGTGATGTGTTTAACCTTCTCATGGAGGCTAATTGCTGGAAGGAATCCAAGGTTACTCTACATAAAAATATATTCAGCTGTTTTATTGTTTGACACTTTTGCAGGAATTTTGCCTAGCAGCAGTTTCTATGGCAATGGATGTCACTGACGCCAAGGTATGGGTTGTTTAGGAGGTCAATAGAATGGTATTTCCTTTAAGGGAAATTCAGAAATAGCATATTTTTTTTACAGTAGAGAATAAAGGCATCTAACTACTTTTGGACTAGATGCAGGAAATAAATGGCTTTCATATTGTTTCCTTCCAGTCATTTCAATTATAAAACAGTGCTAGGGATCAGTGAAGTTTATTACTAATGGCCTGTGTGCTAAACTATTTTTGTAAAGCCTTGCACTGATTAAATAGTATAACTATGGAACTGGTACTGAAGATAAATAGGGCTAGATTTTACGGAATACAGTAAAACGATGAAATAACTCCAAAAAACGATGGATACCAAGCGTGTCTCTAGCCATTGTAAACTGCCGACATAGTTTTGCAGGACCAACACCAGAGACTTGGGTCAACTACAAATGTAAACATTTCACCACCTTGCTCCAAAAGGACATTCAAAAATGTAGGAACAAAAATATTTTAAAAAATGCAACTGAAAAATAAAATAGAAACTTATTTTTAATGTTTCTGCCACTAATACTAATTAATGGGCAAGTGGCAGCATAGCCAATGCAAGGCCAGCTTGAGGATCCAGTGTGTAAGAACACTCCGGGCACTATAACAACTTCATCTAAATGAAGTTGTTATGGTGACAGGAGGCCCCCGAGTGCACTCATACCTCAAGGGCTTAAAGTGTTCTCGAATGATTTAACCTCCAAGTTGCCTCCTGTACTGATGCACTCACCTGCCATAATTTATTGTGACCTTGAGGGTCTGACCTTGTCCCATATACACACTGCCTAGCGTAACTTAATGAGATATGTGTTCCAGCATTTAGCAGTAGTTTTATTCGTCAGATTAAGCAAGGGACAGTTTTGAAAAAGCTGACAGCAGCCATACTACCAACGGAGCTGTGCAATAAGTTCCCACGAGCCACCAACATCACGTGCATTCACCTCAATTCTCAGAGAGCTGGACAGGGAAGGTGAGGACTATACAAATATTGGTATGGTCCAAACCGTTTGTACAGATTCCTGTTTTTTGACGTCATAAGCAAAACGGGTAGGGTTCTACCTGCAGAGACTTTTTCAAATCACTGTATTTATAAGAAACTATGTGTAATGAGACACGTGCAGGAGACCTCCTTTCACAATAAACTCAGTTTGCCACGGTGGTTGGAGTGTCCCGGTAACATTTTGTCCTCTCTGTGTCCTTTTATTCTGCTTGCTTAACAACTCAAGCCAAGAATTGGAAATATTATCATATTTGAATCTACAAAGAGTGATTGTACTTATATATACAGCTTTTTAAATTAATAATGTAATTTGTAATATATAAGTACACAAATAAAAATGTTATTGGTACAATGTAGGGTATACAAACACATTAATGGCTAAATTATTCGTACTCACCAGCCAGGTTTTTTGAAGTAGAAAGTTTTTATCTTTACTACTACCGTTCACTGAAGTGGTCATGGTGCGTAGAGTTAACTTATAAAACAGGGCTTTTCACCACGTCAGTAATTGTAGCTTAGTGGTATTGTTCCTGATTTGCATGCCAGCAACACTAGTTCTAATCTAACTCCAACCCACTGAAGGAAAAAAAGTGTGAGTTTATCTTAAGTGGAGGGATAAGAAAGTGAATCCAAATGAATTGTGGATCTTGCTGATACTCCCCTCCTACAGAAACTGATAGAGGAACAGGTCTGACAAATTAGGCATTGTAAAGACCTACTTAATCTATCAACACTAACATTTTTGTTTTTATATGCTTTATTCACAACAAGTAAAAAGGACTTATACGGACGGAAAGATAACTAAAAAACACATAAGCACGTAGACATTAAGATTTCAATAAGGTTCCAAACCAAGATACTTAACAATAAACAGATTAAATCTAAGCTTGCATGGAAGAAATACTAGCACAGGTTTAAATGAAGACTCATTTTTCACAGGGTTTGATATTTAAAAAAACAGACATGACCTATCGCAAACATATACAGCAGGGAGTAGCTAGAGAAACAAAAAAAAACAAGAAAAGAAAAAGAAGCATGTGAAAGTCACTGCAAAAAGAGAAAAGAAAAATAATAAAAAGGGGATGGAAGGACACGTGGGATTAAATAAATTCAACGTTTTTATTTGGAATATGTTTAGAAATTGCAATATTTCCACTTTAAATTACATTTTTCATGACATCGCAATTGCAATTTAAAAGCTATAATAACTTCAATAAGATGACGTTGTTAAACTGCCTACAGTCTTCCTTTAAATGTGCCTTTTCTAAATACATAAATTCATATCACTGTGATAGCCTACCAAAGGCTGAAAAGCTGCAGATCTTCAAGCACAATCCCAGCGGAACTTAGTTAGCTTGAATAGATAGAAATAATGTTAACCTGTTGAGAATATTGCTTTGAACTGATTTGATGAAAAATTAATAAATTGATGATGATTAGTGATGTCCCGAACGGTTCGCCGAACGGTTCGCCACGAACGGTTTGCCACAGACTCATGATTGAGTAAACTTTGACCCTGTACCTCACAGTCAGCAGACACATTCCAGCCAATCAGCAGCAGACCCTCCCTCCCACCTCCTGGACAGCATCCATTTTACATTCATTGTGAAGCTGCATTCTTAGTGAGCTGTCCAGGAGGTGGGAGGGTCTGGGAAGGAGGGTCTGCTGCTGATTGGCTGGAATGTGTCTGCTGACTGTGAGGTACAGGGTCAAAGTTTACTCAATGATGAGTCCGTGGCGAACCGTTCCCGAACCGTTCGGCGAACCGTTCGGGACATCACTAATGATGATGTGATTTTACGTTGATTCATTTCCATGTAGGACCTTAAGAGTAATCATGGTAAATAATCAGATTGCTAAAATGAAAAGGACTATCATTAACTCGATGATAATAGTATTGTACAAACTTTATTCTCCAATCTCAAAATAAATTCACAGAATGAGGTATAGGGATACCGTTATGGATCTTTAAAGTTCCTGGTTTTTCAAGAGCAAAACATGGATGCACTAAGTGTTGAAAATGGCAGTCAAATGTAAACAGGTGCTGAAGAATCTCCATGTTATAAAATGACAATTTCTGATGGTCGTAGTCCAGCAAGATTCCAATTCTCGTTGGTGGCACCGTAATACGAATATCTGGTGACATTCCACAATGTAAAAATTCATATTTGTGCCTGTTAATAAATAATGAAATTCATGAAATTGATACATCATGCGCGTTATCAGAAGATTAATGAATATAACAAAGTTCAATTTCAATTTCAAAGTTCAAAATACTGTAACTATTAATAGTCTGCAATTCAGCTATCAGGCTCCCAAAGGGGAATTCTCTGACAGCATAGATGAGATACTGAGCCAACTAGCACACCATAATGTTTTGGTAAATATGGTGGCAAAAAGAGTTTATTGTAATTGCGCTCTTACTTTTCTCCTTTCAAAATGATGAATAAAAGGCTAAGGAGGGGGGGTTGGGCCTGACATTCATGGCGACCAGACGTGTTCTGTTTGAGCTCCTCATCTGGTCATCACTTTAGCCTAACTTTTGTCCATCCAGCAATACTGATCTACTTTACATCCTCAGGAGCTGCAGGCTAGAGTTCACTCTCACCACTAGGATCACCAGTGATCCACCAGACCACCAGGGATTACAGGAAATACCTCCCCTCCCTCAGCAAAGGTAAGAAGGGAGGGGGATATAAAAATTATTTATTTAAATTAAAAAAACAAAACAAAAAAGACTATATTTATTTATCTGCCCTCCAACCCCCAATAACTCTTCCCAATACACACACACACACACACACACTACCCCCAATACACACACCCTCCCTAAATACACACACACACACTACCCCCAATACACACACACTGCCCCAATGCCCACACTGCTCCCCAATACACACACACTGCTCCCCAATACACACACAACACTTCCCCCCAATACTCACACACCCTCCTTAAATACACACACTGCCCCAATACACAAACACACACACACACTGCCCCATTACACAAACACTGCCCCAATACACACACACACACACACACACTGCTCCCCAATACACACACAACACTGCTCCCAATACACACACGCACACTGCTCCCAATACACACACACTGTCCCCAATAAACACACACACTGCTCCAATACACACACAGCACTGCCCCAACACATACACAAACACACTGTCCCCAATACACACACACTGACCCCCTTACACCCACACTGCCCCCCAACAAACACACACTGCCTTCCAATACACACACACTGCACCCCTCACACACACTGCCCCCCAATAAATACACTGCACCCCAGGGGGGCTAGATGGTGTTTTAACACTATAGGTTCAGGAATACACTTAGTAGGTTAGTGTTTCTTTAAACTAACCTACTAAGTGTTGTTCATAAGATAGAAATAAAAGCCTGTTCGATTTTTCAGGAACTGGCAAGTTGTGCATTCATTAAAAGCAGCTCTCTAGCAGTTTAACATCAAGTTCACAAGGCCCTCTCCATGAGGCTGATACAGCAGAGATGTATGTCTGTTATTGAATGTGTGTGTGTGTCAGTAAATGTGTCTGTCAGTGATGGTGTGTGTCAATGTCCTCTGTTTTTAAATGTGTGTGTCAGTTTCCTATGTGTGTAAATGTGTGTGTCAGTATCCTCTGTATATAAATGTGTATGTGCGTGTCAGTGTTCTCTGTGTGTAAATGTGTGTAAGTGTGTGTGTGTAAAAGTGTCCACTGTGTGTAACTGTGTGTGTCAGTGTCCTCTGTGTGTAAGCATGTGACAGTGTCCTCTGTTTGTAAATGTGTATGCGTGTTTGTCAGTGTCTGCTGTGTGTGTGCGTTTGTTTATGTATTTCAGTGACCTCTGTGTGTACCTAGTGCATATTATATTTTCATTTTCTGACGTTTATACTTAAGGTTACTACTTCATATACTCCTCCTTTCATACACAATATTCAAATTATGTCACATTTATTTTAAAAATATTCTTTACCACCTTTAATCAGGCTTGTTCTCCAATATGGTATTCACTTAGATATCAATGTCTACACTTTCATTTGGAATTTAAATCAATAGAATTACTTTCTCCAGGCAGGGGTACTTAGGAATATTTTTAGACCTGCAGTGGTACTTATCTGTAAAAGGTTGAGAAACACTGGTTTATAAGATGCCACGTGAGGGAAAACAGCCATAGCGTTCACACAAAGATTTATTGTGTACCTGGCTGGTGTGAGAACATGTCGGAAACACCAAGATGTATTATTGCCACCAATTAGTCCATTTTTGTTTGTATCATCATAGGCAACTCCCACCCGGTATTCTGTGTGTTCGTCCAGCTCCACCTCCCAGTAATGCTTCCCTTTGTATGGGATGAGATTTGCCATAACAGCAATGCATCTGTAGAATATAAAGCCAATAAGAACTGCGTTACTATGTGTCATTCTCAGAATTAATATCTGCAAATCCATAACACCAAGAATTAAAATGGATTGTTATATAGGACATGACTCCGGCTCATTGAGAAATTAGCACTGAATATATTTACCTTACTGACTTTGTAAAAAAATAAAATAGCAATTTACAGACAAACTGACCAGATTAAACATTTGTTCTATCATCCGGGACAGACATGGTTGTTTCCCAACTTCCAAATTGTAGTGCATTATCGGGTTATTCACTATAGTGGGGATTTCAAGTAAATTCCAAATCTAAGGCCAAAATAGCCAAACTGGAAGAAATCTCAAGTCACCTATGCTGTTAGTCCTGTGACTGGCCAAGAAAGAAAAGAAAATAGTTTCCTCAATATGCAGTAAAACTACAGCAGCTAAGCATTATGGGTGAGGATATGCAAATGAGGCTTCTCAGACTTAAACAGTATATGCATGTCTGCTGAAGGAGTCTATTTACAAGGTGGATATAGAGGGTAGATAGTGTAGGTCTACATTGTCCTACACAGAATCATTTGCTGTGGTTTGTTTGCAGCAAACCAAGGAAATCGCAGGACAAGGTAAAAATTGAAATCCGTTCAGAGTAGTGTAGTCACCTGATGGTATTTTACACCACAGACAGTATTTGAGGCTGGTTGACCTGTATTGCAAAAATACCAGCTATGCAAAAGGTAGTATTTTTGTTACTATGTGCTGAGGCTGCCCCCAAGCTGCCATTATAAGAGAATTCTCCCCTTCCAAATGTATTTTATTTTCTTATGTCACTCCCTATGATGACATGAATATCTAATTAATCCTGCAAATTAGCATGGCAGGTAATTTTTCACAAGAAAGGTGGCAAATGGCAACCCTATTTCAGAGACAGAATATATGAGTTACGTGGAGATTAATTGAGGACTTAATGAGGACATTATTGATATTGGTGGGTTGGAATCCTTACCTTGTGAAAGTGTTGCAAGTGTACGGTAAATCTGCTAGGCTTTCTTCCACATCACACGATAATGTAAATCCATTATCAGAAATAGACAAAAGAGGGTGAGCTGTGTCTTCATTCAGATGAAAAAATGTACCTAAAATATAATCCACATAGTTTAACCCCTTCAGGACCGGACTGTTTTTGCGATGTTTGTATGTTAAGGACCATAGCTATTTAACACTTTTGTGGTGTTTGTGTTTAGCTGTAATTTTCCACTCTATCATTTACTGTTCCGATACAAATTATATTTATTTTTTTCAGGACAAAAAGGGCTTTCTTTACATACTATTATTTTTATCATGTCATATAATTTAATTTAAAAAATAATAAAATATGGTGAAAAATAAAAAAAACATGTTTTTGACTTTTACTTAAAAAATCTTTTACTGATCTACAAAATCGAATGAAACAAACTGCTAAATAGATTCAAAATTTTGTCCTGAGTTTAGTGACATTGTAACACTGTTATGTCATAAATCTCCCAAAAAAACACCCCACATGTACATATTTTTCTTAAACTAGATAACCCAGGGTATTCATCTACAAATATTTTGATACTTTCTATGCAGCCATTTTACCACAAACTAGTGCCGTAGGTTGCCTACCCCTGCCCTAGGGTATAGGGTATTTCACATGGTGGTATTTTAACACTTTCCATGCACTAATTCTACCACCAGGCTTTGTCAAACATTGAGTTAGTAATTTTTTGTGTGTGTTTTTTTCACACACATTATACTTTAGGCATGAATTAACAGATCCTGTTATGTGTCACTGCCAAACAACACCCCAATATGTGTTCAGCAACATCTCTCGAGTACAGGGATACCCCCCATGTATAGATGTGTTGGGTTGTTTGGGGGCTTAAGGGCCACACTTTGCAGGTGCGCATATCAGTTTTCCAGCTTGGAATTTTAACATGTAGGCAACCTGCATGCATGTCCTATTTGGCACATTTTTGAAGCCGGCCAATGTATTTTATCCCCATCAAACCATATATTTTTGAAAAGTAGACACCCTAGGGTATTTCACATGGTGGTATTTTAACACTTTCCATGCACTAATTCTACCACCAGGCTTAGTCAAACATAGTTAGTAATTTTTTTTCTGTTTTTTTCACACACATTGTACTTTAGGCATGAATTAACAGATCCTGTTATGTGTCACTGCCAAACAACACCCCAATATGTGTTCAGCAAGATCTCCTGAATACAGTGATACCACCCATTCATAGGCCTGTCGGGTTCTTTGGGGGCTAAAAGGCTACGTTTGGCAGGTGCGCTTATCAGTTTCCCAACTTGGAATTTTGACATGTAATCAACCTGCGCCCATGTCCCATTTGAGCCAATGTATTTTACCCCCATCAAACCATATATTTTTGAAAAGTAAACAACCCAGGGTATTTTAAATCGTGGTATTTTAACACTTTTCATGCACTGAATTCTACCACCAGCCTTTGTCAAACTTTTGGGTAGTAATCTTTTTTGTTTCTTTGTCACACACATTGTACTTTAGGCATGAATTAACAGATCCTGTTATGTGTCACTGTCAAACACTGCCCAATATGTTCAGCAACATCTCCAGAGTACAGTGATACCCCCCATGTATAGGGTTGCTGGGTTGTTTTGGGGCCAAAAGGCAACAATCAGAACTTGTACATGCCAGTTTTTCAACTTGATATATAGGTATGCTTGGTCTATCTTCAGTTTGACATATTTTTGCACCCCCCAGTTAATGTTACCATGATGACAGTATATATAGTATATATTTTTATAAAGTGGACATCAAAGGTTATAGAAGATGGGGTGTTTTGACTTCTTTCCCCCAACCATTTTGCCCCCCAAAGAAAGTGTAGTGGTAATTTTTTAATTCTGGTTTTTATGCACACGTCATCTGGTTTTGGCCAGCTGGTTATGTGTTACTGCCAGAAAACTTGTTAGACCAAATGTGCAGGTAGCAAATGTACATTTAGCAGCAATCTTTAAACCGACTGCTGCAAATAGAATCTAACTGGAGATTTGGGGGAAGGAAACTGACTAATAAAAAATGGCGGCTTTCCAAAGGAAAAAAAAAAAAATTCAGAAACACTTCTTACAACTGTTCTGTGTGGTACAGCTTGAAACATGTTTCCACAAACAGTCCTGGTTTTGAAGGGCAATCAGGACAGTGAAAAGGGGTGTCTGTCCTTTTCCCGTTTTTAAAACAGACCCAGCAACGTTTCTGGGGGGGGGGTTTCTAGCAGTTGGCGGTAACTTAAAAATAAAATGTCTGGACTCAGCTTGCACCGTTGTTGGAACTTGTCCATCTCCATAAATTGTTAAAGAAATTATTTTCAACTGAAATTGGAGAAAGGTAGTTTTCCCTGGATTATTTTTTTTAAAAAAAGCAAAAATGAGTTGTGGGTTGCTATCTGCATCAGATAGATAGCCACCTTTTTATACCATGCTTTGGTTTTTCCTGAAATAAGATATGGCTGCGTCAGCTGATCAGCCAAATCAACACCCCCCCCATGTACTTATTATACGCCCTGATGCAAACTGGTTTGGACTCTACTCTGCCCTGGACAGAGACGTCTGACATGTGTTCGACATGGATGGTGGTTAGCATGTTGACATCCTTCCTGTCCCTACATTTTAGTGCAAGCACTTCAGCTTTGCAAAGTGCTTTACATTCGCCTTTTTTAAATTTTGCCTCTATGAGAGATCGTGGAAAGTCTTTGGAATTTTTTCTGGCAGTGCCGCAGGCCAGTGTCTGTAAACCATAAATGGTTTAAACAGACAGACACTACTATAAAAATTATCCACATAAAGGTGGTAACCTTTATTAAACAAGGTGTTTAGTAGGTCCCATACAAGTTTCCCACTTGTCCCCAGGGAGTCAGGACAGTCAGGAAGGTCCAGTTGACCATCTTTCCCCTCATATACACGAAAGGCAAACGTGTATCCACTTTCGCTCTCGCACAGTTTGTACATTTTTATGCCATACCAAGCGCTTTGAGGGGATGTATTGTCTGAACCCTAATCTCCCTTTGTATTTCATTAGAGATTAATTTATGGATAAATTTTGTTGGGGGGTATAAACATCCGAAAATTTGTCCTATCGTATTGGGGGTGATCTCTAGGGTGACAGAGGATATTGTCACTGAAATGTAAAAATCTCAGCAGTAACTCGTATCTGGCTCTAGGCATGGTTTGGGCGAATACTGGACTAGACATTATTGGGTTGGTGCTCCAGTATGAGCGAATCGATGGCTTCTTTATAATCCCCATGAGCATTGTAAGAGCCCAGAATTTTTTAAGCTCTGGAACATCTGTGGGATGCCAGTCATGCTCCCTGACTGTATAGCTACCTGGATTGTTATCAATAAATTGGGTAGCATACAAGTTAGTCTGGGAAGCAATCTCCTCCCAGATGGTATCCCCTAAAAAAAGTTCTACATACTGCATTGGGGAGAAGTCATCCACATTAACATTAATGCCTGCGTTGGGCTCGGCTAACTGTGGAGGTACCCAGTCCTCCTCCACATTCGGCGTAGCAGAGGAAGCACAGCTTCTTTCTTCAGCCGGCTCTCACACAGATGACGTCGTCTTGACTAGATGTGTCAGAAAACAGACCTGTGTCAAAATCTGACGCAGTGTCAGTGGCGTCAGAGTCTGATGCCAAGAAGGCATATGCCTCCTGCAAGTTATACATACGCTGCATGTTTTACACACGACTAAAACAAATTACAAAGACACAAAAAAAAATGTATACTTTTTTTTTTTCACTAAAACAGACTAAACAGCAATCCCTAAACTAACTCCTGTCACAAAAATCTAATGGAGATTTGAGGGAAGGAAGCTGACTGACTGACAGACCAAGACAGACCATAACAGACCAAGACACAAATTTTTAAAACAAATCCAACCCTTTAAGGGCAAAAAAATAAAAATAAATACAGACAGTACAAATGCACTGCTGTAACAGATCTGGCAGGGAAGTGCTTAAAAAGGATTTTGTATTCACTTTAGATACTGTATAAAGCTCTGGAACACTTTTGCTGCAACAAACTATCACGATCTCTGTCTCTCTCGCCTCACAAAACGCAACAGAGGAGAGAGGGGCAGAGATCACTGTCAAAGTAAGTGTTTGTAACACCCATTTTGACAGCAGCCAATTGTGAGCGATCGCGGATCGCTCACACGCCACAATTGGCTGTTACTATCTGCCTGGGATGTCTGGCAGATAATTTTAGCGTTATACCGGCGTGAGCGATCTTTGATCGCTTCCCACAGCCCGTTTTTCGCTATGACGGTTCAGGACTGTCAGCGGTCCAAACGCACATTTTACCGCTGACGGTCCTGAACTGTCAGCGGTCCTGAAGGGGTTAATACTGAATTAGAAAAATAAAAAAATACATTTTTTGGGTGAAGAAATAGAAATCTGTTATGCACCTTTATTTCAGCACTGGTGCATGATGTGAGTTATTAATACCTAGAGTCAATACATGTGATGGTTGTTCTGGAATTTAAGCTGTAACAACCTTTGTTACCTGCAGCATGTGATGACTGTATTTTCTCAAATAAGCAAAAAATATATACTAGCAAGTGTGGTAACAAAATGGTGGCAGCAACTGACTACAAGTAATTGGTAACTTAGTAATTGGTAAGGCACATTGAAAACTCAGACAGAAGACAGATGATAAAATGTACAGGGTTATTTCCTAAGCTGGGAATTGTCTGGAATCCAAAGTGGATATACATTTTTATGCCAAAGTAGGCACTTGGAAAGTTTCTCCTCTTTATTCTAAAATTAGAAATTCATTTTGAAAATTCAGGATTTTTGTAATTCACCGTGTATATTTTATCATTAGTCTGATTTTTCAATGAGCCTTAACCAGTTACAAAGCCACCAATAACAATCATGCTTAAATGTACAAGAAAATGCACCCAGATAACTGCATCTTAATAAAAGGGTGTGGGTACAGTGCCTCTATTGTTTTACCCCTTAAGGACACAGCTTCAGAACCTTGTCTTACGCTTAATGACACAATTTTTGCATTTTCTTGCTGTTTGCGTTCAACTGCAATTTGCATCTCGTTTATTGCAGCGACACATATTATATACTGTTTTTTAAAGGACAGAAAGGGCTTTAATTTGATGTAACATATATATAATATATAAATATATAAATGCTATAAATATATTTATTATAAAAAAACAGTTTTTGCAATAATAATGTGTGCATAATTAGTGCAGGTTAAAGAAAGTAATTAAAAATAAATTCATTGAGTTGTTCTGATTTACAGAATATATAATGTGTCAGGGATTTTAAGTTTTTTTGGTAGTTACAGGTCACAAAGCACAAGGAGTAAAATAAACTTTTAATTTGGAGCGATTTTAGAATTTGGTATGTTTGTCTTGTAAGCTTAATAGCCATAAAAGAAAACAAAATTGCCACACAAAAGTATATATTTATATAAAGTAGACATCACGGGCTATTTACCTAAGATTGTTTTGACACTTTCTACGTAGCCATTTCACCGCCAATCTCTGATAAATATTGGAGTAAAATTTGGGGGTTTTTTTTGGTTTTTGGCGCACAAACCTATAACAAAGAACTTCTCATGTGTATTTTGTAAAGTTGGTTTGTGCTATTTTTGTACAAAACTTTATTTTGTGTTCAGCTACATCTGCTGAGTACAACGATACCCCCATTGTATATCTTTGGCACTATTTCGTGAAGCTACAGTGCCATATAGGAGACCTGTCCTTTTCAGTATATACAGTAGAATTTTGAGAGACGGATTTAATGGGCCTATGCTTCAATTTGGGGTATTATAGCAGTTTGACTGTTTAAAAAAAAAACACAAAGGCCTACCATTTGTAAAAGTAGACACTTCAGAGTATCTCATATGGTGCCTTAACATGCCCCCATTTTTTCACCAATATATGCCAAAGTATGTGTTAAAAAATAATTTTGGGCATTTTTTACATACGGATTACATTTTTGCTGGGCATTTTGTATATTTCATATGTGCCACTAAGTTAAAACCCCCAAATTATGCTCAGCTAAGTCTTCTGAGTAAAACGATATGCCCATTGTATGACCTAGACACTATTTTGTGAAGTTACAGTGCTGTAAAAGAGATGTGACAAATTCAGGTTTTTAAGTGTGAATTTTCACGGAGGGTTTTGATGCGTCCGTGTCCTACTTTGGAGCATTTGAGCAGGCTACATATTACAACTACACCATAAAGGTATACCATTTCTTAAAGAACACATCCAAGGGTATTTCAAAAGGTATATTTTGAACCTTAGTGTGGGATCATTTTTCCGCTAGCTTGTACCAAGTGTAGTGGTAATAAGCATTTTTTTGCCTTTTTGTCACACAAAGTGAGTTTGCACAGTATATTTTGCAAACCTTATGTGTACTACGACTCTATAATACTTCATATGTTGCTCAGCTATGTCGTCTGAGTACAAGGATACCCCCATATGTACCTTTGCCAGGTATATGTGGACATCGGAGGGGCACATTTGAGACACAGCCATTCCAGTTTTTTTCAAACTTTAAATTTTTACGCTGTGCCCATCCCCATTTTAGAGTATTTTACCAGGCTTTATAATCCAAATACACCATATAGCCATGCCATTTCTTAAAGAACACATCCAAGGGTATTTCAAAAGGCATATTTTGAACCTTAGCGTGGGATCATTTTTCCGCTAGCTTGTACCAAGTGTAGTGGTAATAAGCATTTTTTCTGCCTTTTTGACACACAAAGTGAGTTTGCACAGTATATTTTGCAAACCTTATGTGTGCTACGACTGTATAATACTACATATGTTGCTCAGCTATGTCGTCTGAGTACAGCAATACCCTCGTATGTACCTTTGCCAGGTATATGTGGATGTTGAAGGGGCACATTTGAGACACAGCCATTCAGTTTTTTTCTAACTTCGAAGTTTTACGCTGTGTCCATGTTAACTCGGTCCCTCAGTCAGCCAGGTTACCCGTTGTTAAGGGTTTCCCCTGGATGACGGACCTTGTCCGTCACCCGTCCTGAAGGGGTTAAATTGCAGAGTAAAACACAGGGTTAAGCATACTTCTAGAGGTACTTTTACCGTGAGAACTAAGTCAGACTCTATTCTTGATCAAACGCTGCTCATAGAGTACCATACCTCCCGACATACACAATTTTGGGGTCCTGTCTTACCATCACACTTTGTTCCTTTTTGTATAGCTTTTGGGGCCACCAGGGAACAACTATTCTCAAAAAAGTGTAGTGTGATCACATAATTCAACCTGCTTGCACTTATGCTACACCCAGGATCCTGCAAGGAGCTCTAAAACAGTGCTCTCTGCGTTGTCTGCACTCAGTGGGCCAGCCTTGATGATTGACGCGCAGTCTGGAGCACATTCATTCCAGGCTGACATGCCAATCCTTCATACAGACCATTCCCCATTTCCTCCCCTCCTCCAGCAGGGGCGGATTCAGAACCTAATTTTGGGAGGGGCACTGGTAGGAACCTTCCAGGCACAATAGCTACTACAGCTCTTTGTATTGGTTATGGTGCCTGGAGTGCCATTGCACACTCCAAGAGTAAGTAGTCAAACCATTTAAGAACAGTTTGACACCTTACCTCGGTCTGCCAGGATAGGAGCTGTCCTAAGGGAAAGGGACTATAGTAGGGGATAGGGGTAGTAGTAAGTGTGATGTGTGGGGTGCAATGTGTGAGTAAAGGTTATGGTGTGTGTGAGGGGTGCAGTGTGTGTGTGAAGGGTGCAGTGTGTGTGTGAGGAGCGCAGTGTGCGTGTGAGGAGTGCAGTGTGCGTGTGAGGAGAGGAGCGCAATGTGCGTGTGAGGAGCGCAGTGTGCGTGTGAGGGTTGCAGTGTGTGTGTGTGAGGAGTAAAGTGTGTGAGTGAGAGGTGTGGTGTGTGAGGGATACAGTGTGTGTAAGAAGGGTGCAGTGTGTGTGTGTGAGGGGTGCAGTGTGTGTGTGTATGTGAGGAGTGCAGTGTGAATTGTGCAGTGTGAGTGCGTTTGAAGGGTGCAGTGTGCGTGTCAGGGGTGCAGCGTGCTTGTGTGAGGGATGCAGCGTGTGTGTGAGGGGTGCAGTGTGTGTGTGAAGGGTGAAGTGTGCGTGTGAAGGGTGCAGCGTGCATGTGAGGGGCAGGGGCGGGCTGGGACGGGGGGAAGGGAGGCAATTGCCCCCCAGGCTGCCCTATATCCAGGGCTGCGTGGGTTGCCAGGTGCCTGTGTTACACCTGCAATATCTTTTTTATGAGCACGTTTAGCACTCACGCCAGGCTGCCTGTCAGCAATCACTTCTCCTCCACTCCTCCCCTACATGTGGCGTGACGTCTAGGACAAAGACAGTCACGCTAGGGCCTCACTGTGACTGCGGTGGCAGTCTCCACCTCCCTCCCATGTGTGCAGCCATTCCAACGCGTATTGGACACAGGTATGTGCAGCCCCTCGGCCAGCTACACACAGCAACCCTCAGCATCCCCAGTCCAGCCACCCACGAAGCCTCCCCTCTGGCACCTCCAGCTACCCACCAAGCCTTTCTCTGCACCCCCAGCCACCCATCAAGCCTTTCTCTGGCACCCCATCCACCCACCAAGCCTTTCTCTGGCACCCCCAGCCACCCACCAAGCCTTTCTCTGGCACCCCCAGCCACCCACCAAGCCTCCTCTGTGGCACCCCCAGCACCTACACAGCCCCCCCAGCATATACTTATATAAATACTATATATATATATATATATATATATATATATAAAAATCATGGCTGGTTTATATAATATTTATATTTCATAAATAGTATATAAAGTAGATAAAGTATATATATATATATATATATATATATATATATAGTAAAAATTAACATTACGCAATGTTTGATCATATAATGTAACTAAATCCCCATTATTTTTTTTGCCTAGATTAGGTGTTTTTAATAAAACTAGCAAAATCTGTCAGCACCAAAGTAGCTGTTTAGTAGATAAGGGAGTGCGCTGGATTTTCACTTTTACTGTACTTATTGGCCCCCAGCAGCACCCCATTTAAGCATGTTCAGGTGAGTGCAGCCAGCCCCTTGTTTTCGTATATATATCTATATATATATCTATATCTATATCAAAAAGTTAAACCAAATATATATATATATTTTTATATATATATAAAATCATAATTTAAACCAGCTATATATATATATATATATATATATATAAAATCATAATTTAAACCAGCTATATATATATATATATATATATATATATATTTTATAAACCAGCTATATAATTGTGTTTAACATATATATGTGTGTATATATATATGTGTGTATATATATATATATATATATATATATATATATATATGTGTGTGTGTGTGTGCTTTTTGTTTTTGTTTTGGGGTGAGGGGGAGAGGTTGGATTGATGCCATGGGGGGGGCAGGATCCACAGGGCCCAAGCAGATGCTTGCCCAGGGTCCGATCACTACTAAAGACTACAACCACTACTAGGCAGCAATAAAAACACTGCCTTTTCTCTGAAAAGTCAGTGTTTACATTAAAAAGCATGCAGGGACAGGATAAAGGTTCCAAAACAACTACATTAAGTTGTAGTAGTTCTAGTGACTACAGTGTCCCTTCAAAATTTTAGTTTTGACATTGAAAACTTTACACCTAACTTTTTTAGCTGGCTTCTAGATTCCAATTAAATTTGTCAAGCCCTGGTAACGGTGTATGGGATGGTAATCCCATCGCTGTATACAAAACGTGCTTGATACATGGACTACACCTATATCCATTATAAAACCAGGAAAAAGTGGTCATGGATGGTGAGCTGATTCGGTGGTGCAATGGGCCACTTGACTGGATTTGGCCTCCAGGCCTAAGGCTGCCAGCCCTCCCCTAGTGAGGGGCACAGTTTGTGTGTGTATGTGAGGAGTGCAGTGTGTGTGTGTGAATGGTGCAGTGTGTGTGTGTGTGTGTGTGAAAGGTGCAGTGTGCGTGTGAGGGAGGCAGTCTGCGTGTGTGTGTGTGTGTGAAGGGTGCAATGTGTATCTGTGTGTGAGAGAGGGGTGCAGTGTGTGCTTATGTGGGTGCAGTGTGTGTGTGTGCAGTGTGTAAATGTGTAGGAAGTTATTCTGTGGGGGTAAATCCTGTCAAATTAATAAAATTAAAAAAGACCCGAAAGCAAAAAAAAAACATGCAAAAAAAAAGTATCAATCCCGACCATGAAAAATAATCCAACTACAGTTGTTTGCAAAACAATGCAAACAAATGTATACTGCACACACTAAAAAAAGGGAATACTTCGTGCAGGGTACTCCAGAAAGGGAGGGCCAATCTATGGAGACACCAGATGGAAGAAAGAAATATCCAGGCACTCCTGAGGTTTCTTCAGCGGTACTTAGCCGCGAATGTTATGGAACTGTTTTCGGCATGAGATGACCGGTGGGGGGATTCAGTCGGTTCTCGACAACCTGTTACTAAAATGTAACACATTCGCCGAACCGGTGATTAACCTGGCTGACTGAGGGACCGAGGGCCGACACCAGGTGGGTTCCCCGCGGCTTGCCTGGTATGCCGCCGGGTGCCAGACCCCTCCGTGTAATTTGCCACTGCCTCCAGTCTGCAGCTCCGCCGGTTGCAGAGCTGCAGTACATGGAAAAGAGATCTCACGATCTCCGGCAAAACACATCGCTACCGTGTGTTACCACGGCAACGCTGTGACACATCAAGTGCTGGAGATCGCTGTTCCAGGATAGAGCCACGGCGACTGGGGCAGAAGCGCTGAGGTTTCTCTCTGGTTCCAGCTAGGAAAGTGTCCCCTTCTAGCCCACACCTGTGCCCCTTGAGTGAGGGCTATTAAACTAAACAATGGGCCTAGTGTCCCCCTCAGCTCCAATCCATTTTGGATGGGGCCCCAAGTAAAAAAGGGGGAGAGCCTATTGTTTGCCCCTATCCTCCACCCCTTTTGCCAGGAGATGGGGGCCCTTAGTAATAAAGGGGGGAACCTATAGGGGGGAACCCCACCCATTGCTGCCAGATTGGTGCACCATGGAAAAAAAGGGGGGGGAACCTATAGTTTCCCCCCAACTTCCATTCATTGCTGGCAGGTGGGGTCCCTAAGTAATAAAGGGAGGGGAACTAATAAAATAAATATTGAGCCTTGCAGGTAAGTCTCAAGATTTACATGTCAGATTACTCTTATTGGTTGGCTTAAGCCAACTAATGAGAGCGCTCTGAGTCAAATTGCTTGGCATGGGAAGGCTTTATAAGTCCTCATGCCGAAATTAGTTCCATAGCTAAGTACCGCTGAGGACCATTCATGGGTTTGGCTCATGCGAAAGGCCGCCAGGGAGCTAGCGTTCGGTTCCATTTGAATGAAGAGAAAGTGCCGTACCAGGAGCACCCAGGGAAAGCTGATAATGGCGGCTGGACAGGGTAACTCCCAAATAATGTCTCAGACCTGGACCCCTAGTCAGTGGGCAGGAGGCCAGCTTTCACACTCCTCCAGGAGTTTGTGGCAAACGTGCATGGGACGGAGCGTTTGACACACACCCCTTGTTAATTATTTACATTTTTGGGGCATAGGGCCTGTGTCAGGTTCACCTTTATTGAATTTGGTGGAGGGTCTTTATTTACATGCCCCTACTGACATATTGAGTAGGGGTAGAAGGGAGGTTATAACCTCCCTTACTTACTAATACTAAGTATTTTTTTACTTAGTATTAGTAAAATTGGCTAAAAGAACAATTTTAGTCTTTCAGCTTTTTAGTAGATAGCCCTCTAATACTTGTGGGATTTAGGGAGCTATCTGTTAAACGGCTGCAGTCAATGGATGAAATTTGATTCTGACGAAACAACATTTTTTTTCGTACAAAAATAAAAATTTCTCCCGTGCCGAAGTCTAATTTCTTCTATTCCTTTTGATAGAAAACTAAAGAGTCAGACTGCAGAGGCAGTCTGTAACTGTACACCAAAACTGATTAATTAAGCTAATGTAGTTTTGATGCCTATAGTGTCGATTTAAGATTCAAAAGATGAAGTACTGGATAGACTGTAATTAAACCTGCAACCCTGAAGTATTAACAGGCACTACAGCGCAATAAATCACTCCGTATATCGTTGATCTTGTTTAGAACATTGGAATGGATATTTTTTTTTAATTTAAGGAAGTTAAAGTATGCACCATTTTGAGACAGCTGTCTCATTCATTCATTTTAGCTTTGCAGACTGTTGAAGAAACTGACCATAGCTTTGAGGTGTGCCCAACAATGCAATCTGACCAAGTTTACATTAAGTTTATAGTTGTTTAAAAGTGTTTGCTTGCTGGTTAAAAAATAAATAAATAAAAGAGATGCATGTCCCTTTAAAGAAAAAACGACTGATTTTCAGCATATGATGAAGTGGTTTTGGGCAATAGCAGAATTTGCATCAACCACTAGGCTATCTGCAATCTGAATTGAAAGAGCAGTTACGTAGACATTATAACCATTCATAATATAAAAATCCACAATAAAATGCTGTTTTACAACCAAAGCTCCAGCAGATTGAGAATTTATTTTACTTTTTTAAATGTCCTAGAAGGGCTTTTCAATTTGCATAACTTGTACAAATAGCTCTAAGTGAACTCAAGTGTCACTAACGATGATGTAATTATGTCAATGTGGCTCTATAAATACACCAGATGGGCTGAAGGCTCAGTTCAATTTAAGAAAACTGTGATTTGCAACATTTGGTGTTATTTAAGCGCCTAAAATTAAGTCTGTTGCTATAGTTTAAAGATGCATGTTTATACAATCTCCAGCAATAGAGATACAAGAAATATGTTATTATGCTGGCAAAATACACCATATAAAATATTATAATTAATATTCATCTGAAAAGTAATTTTGTTGTCATCTTACCTACCTCTGTTGCACCAGTGTTAATTTTGTTGACTAACAATTTTATTTAGGTTTAGTCGACTAAACAAAACAAAAACAATTCAGATGACTAAAATACAACTAAAACAAAAATGGCTTTTTAGCCAAAAGACTATAACTAAAGTGAAATATGCAGCCAAAATTAACACTGGTGGGTAAGACACATGGGGGAGAGGGGAGAGGAAATGAGACACATGGACGGCTGGGGGGAAATAAGCACATGGAGGGGCTTGGGGGAATGAGATGTAGAGGAGCTGGGGGGAGGAATTGAGACACATAGGAGAATGGGGGAATGAGACAAAGGGGGGGATAAGATGCAATGAGGGGCTGGGGGACAAAAAGTGAATACAAATTTGAAATAAAAAACAACCAATCCTGCGCTCAAACTCCCACTACTAGTAGTGGGAGTTTGAGTGCAGGGCTTGTGTTTTGTTTTTTTGTATTTGTATTCACTTTTTGTATCACACAGCTATGTTACAATGCTGCTGCCCATCCCATGTGTTCCCTATTAAGGGTTCATAAGTATATAGGGGTGTATATAAAAAATACCCCTTTCTGTCTCATTAGAGATATCTTTGCCAGAAGCTCAAGGAAGCAGGCTGAAGGGTCAGTGTAGGAACCAACCTGAGAGGGGTCTGCCTTGACGTGGCAGGCGGGCATTCCCTCCAATGACCATTGGAGCAACTAAATGACCTCCATTTGTTTAAATATACATAGGGATTTAGGAGAGAGCGCAGGTTACCTTTTTCTTATGGATTCCTGACAGTTTAATTCTAAAATCACTATTTAGGCGCTCAGCCACCCTGTCAGGAAAGAAAAAGGGTTAAAACTCACCTTTTATCAGCGCAGAGTGGGGCTTCTCGCATCTGTCCCTGCACCGATTAGCTTACATCATCAGAAATATTGGATTCGTTGATCAATTCTGATGATCTCAGCCAAGGAGGTGGGGCAGAGGGTGGAGTTAAAAATCACCCTAGCCAATCAGCATCTCCTCATAGAGATGCATTGTTTCAATGCATCTTTATGAGGAAAGTTCAGTGTCTGCATGCAGAGGGCAGAGACACCGAATGTCAGTGCTGCACACTGTGCAGCAGTGCCCCAGGAAGCACCTCTAGTGGCTGTTTGAGGAGTGGCCACTAGAGATGTTCCTAGGCTGTAATGTAAACACTGCCTTTCCTCTTAAAAGGCGGTGTTTACATTAAAATGCCTGCAGTACTATACTCGTACTATACTCACCAGATCAACTACAATAAGGTGTAATTGTTCTGGTGACCACGGTGTCCTTTTAAGTCCCTAATTTTCTATCCTTAGGAATACGAATGGATCCAATATAATCTGTTTCCATTCATTCTAAATTTGTTCGTTTTTGGTTTGTTTGTTTTTTTCAGAATTGGGACATTTCCACATATTTTAAATCAAATTCAATTTGAAATGATTTGCACATGTCTAGTCTATACTATATACTATGACAAAAGGAGTGTAGAGAGGTTTGGATATAAATTCACCATTCCTAATCTAAAAGAAGAGAGGAAGACACAAGTGAATGGTACATATAGTGTGCAGTGAAATGAAACAAAAAGGATTTGAATTATATTTACTGAGATTCATTTTTATTTACATTATGATCTATAGATGCAGTCTGAGACTTTTTCACATCATATTGTTATGTCCAATATTATATGCTACTATACTAGATTAGAAGCAATCAGCGTAGACAAAAAAGTTCCTTTCTATCTAAAAATGTTACCATGAGCTCAGATACTCTGTTTTTTTTCAGGACTTTTCTCTGATGTTCCTAGAAGTGATTTTGGGGGTAAAAACCCAGGATGGTTGGACAATTGACTCTGCTATTGGATCTAAGACAGATGTAAAATTAGCTGAGATCCATCTTTCTGTCTGCATGTCTATTGTCTGTCCATTGCTCTTAATATCCATGTTTGATTTAACAAGTGTCCCAGATATAGTAATTCCATAACAACGTGCATACAATACTGCAATTTTATTACAAGACACGGAGTCTGGTATTTGCATATCCCTTTCTTTACTGTCCACAACAGCAGCAAAGAACATTAACAGAATTGAAAAAGCAAAAGGTAGTGCATGCCTCATACATAGGCCACGCCCCCCTAGTGTCCAGTATAATAGCCTGGTCCGCCCTCCAAATTCCCTCTTTCTTTGCTGCTCCACATCAGATAAGTACCTTTTATTACACTCTGAAGCAATTTTACACTGTTTTATAATCTCTTACATTTATACACTTATTCTCCTTATTCACTCTGTTTGTTTTTTCTGGTTTCCCTACTTAACTCCCAGATTCCCAGACGGTTTGGGGTGCCCTCCTAATCACCTATGGGCAACCCCTTCACTTGCCTCCGTGTCTTTATTAAAATCATGACTTTTCATCATGTAATAGCAAAATCATGTAATTAGAATGTTATTGAAGCATTTCCTGGTGTTTAAACTCTGCTATGTACCGTAAGGAGATGTAGTGGTAGCGGAATACCTGTGGTGTGAATTGAAACAGATTTGCTACTCTCGCTTGGGCCACCCACATTCACAGCTCTGACGCTGATGTGATATGTTTCCCTTGGCTTGAGCTGAATGAGAGATTCGCAGATGGGAATTCCTACAATAGATCTGTGGAAAAAAAAATGTTAGTTTTGACTATCAGATACACCGCCGTGATTGCATAACAAAACATAGGCATCTAGTACATTTCTGAAGGTTCAAATTATTAATCATATCCTCTACACTGCTAGTCTCCGAAGCAGCCTAGATAATGAACAGCATGCATCACATATTAATAACAAGTGTGGGACACTATAAAAACAGCAGAAACGTCCTGTTCACTTATTACTTTATCCCAGGGCCGCCATCAGGGGGTGACAACCATGACGGTTGTCACGGGCCCGGCGGTCCTGGGGGGCCCGGCTGCACAGGTAATCTTCTGCATGCAGGGGCCCCCAGCCCTTCAATCTGCATATATATATTTATATATATATAGCAAGTACCGCTATGTATATATGCCTCTGCGGGCCCAGGATATACTTACCTTCCCCTCCAGCACTCTCGCGAGCCACAGCAGTAAAGCGTTGCCGCGGGTTGTCATGACAACGCTCCGCGGCACGCAATGCATGCTGGGCTCGCGTCCTGGCTGCAGGAGGGAGTCTGCTGGGCTCCTCCTTGCTGGCCCAACACGCAGAGCCACCGGACCACCAGGGAATCCATTGTCCCCCCTCCCTGACTACAGGTAAGAGGCAGGGAGGGGGGAATACATCTTTTTATTTTTTTTAATTACAAACAATTCTACATAAAAAAAAAAACAAAATGCCTCCCAGCAGCATTTGTCACACATCCACCACACACATACATCAAACAGACAAAATGCATCCACTACACAACCACACACATCATACACCACATAAACACACAAACTGCATCCACTACACAACCATACACATCATCCACTACACAACCACACACATCATCCACTACACAACCACACACATCATCCACTACACAACCACACACATCATCCACTACACAACCATACACGTCATCCAATACACAACCACACACATCATCCAATACACAACCATACACATCATCCACTACACAACCATACACGTCATCCACTACATAAACAGACAAACTGCATCCACTACACAACCACACACATCATACACCACATAAACACACAAACTGCATCCACTACACAACCATACACATCATCTACTACACAACCACACACATCATACACCACATAAACACACAAACTGCATCCACTACACAACCATACACATCATCTACTACACAACCACACACATCATACACCACATAAACACACAAACTGCATCCACTACACAACCATACACATCATCTACTACACAACCACACACATCATACACCACATAAACACACAAACTACATCCACTACACAACCATACACATCATCTACTACACAACCACACACATCATCCACTACACAACCATACACATCATCCACTACACAACCACACACATCATCCACTACACAACCATACACATCATCCACTACACAACCACACACATCATCCACTACACAACCACACACATCATCCACTACATAAACACACAAAATGCATCCACTACACAACCACACACATCATCCACCACTTAAAACACACCATAAACCACATAAACACAAAAACTGCATCCACTACACAAACACACACTCTGCATACACTATACACACACTACATCCACTACACATACACTCTGCAGTCACTATTTACACACTACTTCCACTACACAAACACACACTCTACATTTACTATACACACAAACACTATATCCACTACACAGACACACTGTATTCACTATACTCACACACACTACATTCACTACACAAACACGCAATATGCATTCACTATTCACATACTACATCCAGTACACAAACACACACACTGCATTCACTATACACACAATACATCCACTATACACACACATTCTGTCCACTACACAAACATACAATCTGAATCCACTATAAACAGCGTATCCACTTTACTCATGCACTTTGTATCCACTACACACATTCTTAAGCCACTATACACACATAAACAAATTCAGTAAACACACACTTCATCCTTGTGGGTGGACTTAAGATGGGCCCTGTGGGTGGATTTGGGGGCGGGTCATGTGGGTAGACTTGCGGCAGGTCATGTGGATTGACTTGGAGGGCGGGCCCCGGGGGGCCCAGATGGTGGGCAGTGTCAGGGGCCCCAAAATTTCTGGTGGCAGCCCTGCTTTATCCTTCAGTCACTACTCTACAAAAAAAGGTGAATACCAGTGATGAGCTTGCACTTCTCATTTCACGAATACCGAGCTATAGCGCGTTCCTAATCTTATTATAGAGCGGATAGGTATATGCAGTGATGTATTTATGTTTTTGGGTGCCCTAGGCATAGCCTAATCAATGCAACTCCCCATTATTCACACTTGGTATCAGACATACAAGTTCATTCACTCATATTTAACAAGTCACACTGACTTCCACCTACACAGCATACAAATATTTAGCTATATACATATACTGTGCATACATACACAAGCTGCCGAACACATATACATACATGCATACTTAAGCAGGACTTATCATCTGCCCATAATTCCCATGCACTTTTACATTCTCTATCAACTCCTGTATAAATCTGATAACCAACCCCCTTTCTGCTCCAAAATAGATCCCTACATTCCTTAATTAGCTGCATCTGTCTGAATTTGATTCTACACATTCAACTACCGATTAACCCTCTCCCTCCCCAGACTAGCTCCCCAAACTCCGCTGCAAATTACATCCCTCCCCCTCTCCATGTATACGGCAGATGGGAAAAACGTTTTGCTTCCTTCGTTCTGCCCCTAAAGTTTATGGATTGTTTGAGTTCCTGGTGGTCATCAGTCTGAGGAAGAGGTTTATCAAAGTGTCACTTTTTTCCATCTAATTTTCTACACATTTTATTATTATGTTTTTGGCATATTTGGCATATTTATTAAATCTGTCAGATTTTTTCCCCCTTAACTGTTATTCTTTTTAGTATGCTCTGTTTTGTCCCTGACACAACTGATTCATCAATTTTTTTGCGAATCTTAATCTGGTGGTCTTCTGAAATGGAAATTTCTGTGAAAACTGGTGGAATTTAATATAAACAAAACTGTCACCTTTTAGATCACCTTAATAAATACTATCAAAATAATATTTAACCGCTATATTTCAGAACATTTCTGTGTGTATCTGAATAGTATAAGACACATAGTAATAACTGAATATCACTGTGCCATAACCTTGTATCTTTTATCTTGTAGCACAGGCACACACAGACACGAGAACACTATGTGTCCCCTTGGCTCAAAATTGAAAAGTTGTTTGTTGCAGATTTTATTTTGCCTTTTGGATCAAACACTGATCAGCCACAACATTAAAACCATCTGCATAATTTTGTGTAGGTCCCCCTTGTGCTGCCGATAACAGCTCTGAAATGTTGAGGCATGGACTTCACAAGACCTCTGAACTTGTCCTGTATTATTTAGCACTAAGATATTAGCAGCAGATCCTTTATGCCCTACAAGTACGGTGGGGCCTCCATGGATTGGATTTGTTGTATCAGTGCATCCCAGAGATACTTACTCGGATTGAGATCAACATCTTGAACACTTTGTCATGTTTCTCAAACCATTCTTGAATAATTTTTGCAGTGTGGCATGGTGCAATATTCTGCTGAAATAGGCCATGAATGGGTGTATATGGTCTGCAATAAAGGTAGGTGGTAGTGTCAAAATAACATTCACACGAATGCCAGGACCCAAGGATTCCCAGCAGACCATGCCCAAAGCATAAAACTGCCTCCGTCGACCTACCTTCTTCCCATAGTGCATGCTGCTGCCATTTTTTCTCCAGGTAAACAATGCATCCTGCCATCCACCTGATGTAAAAGAAAACATGATTCATAAGACCAAGCAACCTTCTTCTATTGCTCCTTGAACCAAGTTCTGATGCTCATGTCGCCATTGAAGGTGCTCTTGGTGGGGGACAGGGGTCATAATGGGTACTCTGACTGGTCTGCTGTTTTGCAGCCCCATACACCGCAAACTGTGAGCACTGTGTATTCTGACACCTTTTAATCATGACCAGCATAATGTTTTTCAGCAATTTGAGCTACAGTAGCTCTTCTGTGTAATCACTCCCCACACGCATCAATAAGTTTTGGGGGCCCATGACCCTGACAGCAGATCACAGAATGTCCTTCCTTGTACCACTTTTGGTAGGTACTAACAACTGCATACCAGGAACACCCCACAAGACTTGTCATTTTGGAGATACACTGACCCTGTCGTCTAGCCATCGTTATTTGTTCTTGTCAAAGTCACTCAGATCTTTTCACTTGCCCATTTTTCCTGCTTCCAACACATGAAATTCAAAACTGAATGTTCACTTGCTGCCCAATATATCCCATTCCATGACAGGTGCCATTGTAACGATATAATCAATGTTATTCACTTCGCCTGTCAGTAGTTTTAATGTTGTGGATGATCAGTGTAAATATTGCTATTGGTAAGAATTATATATCTTTTTTTTTTTCAACTTAATCACTTATGTAACCATGTAAGACATAAAACTGGTAACAGGGACTCTGATACTTTCCTGCAAGATCTGGTAGAGTAGCAACAGATTAAAGTTATCCACTGAGTGAGCACATCATTAGGTGAGCACATCATTCATTTGATATATAAAACACGCAGATGGCCGAGAGTTGAGCAGTTGCTTGACCAAACACTAAATGGGGAAAACCCAATGAACAAAGAGAGTTTGAAAGCTCTGTGATTGTTGTTGAGTGTTGGTGGATCTCGTGATATTTCCAAGCAGTGCAGGCGATAAGGTTTAGAGAGTCACTGTGATTAACTAAAAGCATTCATTCTGCAAATGGTTTGTGAGTGTAAAACCTTTAACATTGACCGAAAAGTTACAAATACTTAAATAACTATTCTCTGCAACAGTGCTGTGCATAAATCAGTCTGTGAAATCACAGCGCATAAAACCTTGCTAGCTAAGAACAGAACGATAAGGCTTCAGCAAGCGAGAGATCGCTAAAATGAAACAAATGATGACTGGAAATATGAAGAATCGTCACTTCTTTTAAAACAGTCAGAGTTTAGAGTCAGACTCATAAACAAGACATTAACCCCATGAACTCTACCCTGTTGGTAGTGGCGATGTAATGGTGGGAGCATAGCTTTCTAGAGCACATTAATCCCTTTAATAATGGTTGATCACAGTTTGAATGCCACATTCTATCTATGTATTTTCACTGATCATATAAATCCCTCTGCAGTCATAGTTTGCTCAATTTAAAATGGATACTTCCAGCAGTTTAATACATCACGCCACAAGGTATTATATTTATTAGCATTTATCTAGCTCCAACATTTTTTGCAGCACTTTAGAAGTGTAAGAAGGGGATATCTGACAAATAAATTACATAGAAAATATTACCTGGGGTGAAAAAGGCCATGCTCAAATGAGATTACAATATATGAAGAAGGAGTAAAGAACACAAGAGGAATAACATTATCTCAGAGGGGAGAAGGGACTGATGAATAAGATGTCCATGTCAAAATAAGCTAGTAAAAGTGGTGTGTGGAAGACGTGAACAGTGGAAGAAGAGATAGTGAACTGGCTTTGGAGGCGAGTGAACTGACGAGGCCAATTGTAATGAGAGAAACGTTACCCATAAAGATATTAGGTTTAGAGTGGTGTGTTTTCAGTGACTTTGTAAATGACTGAAGGTTAGGCGAGTGTCTCAGGGATCGGGGTAGAAAATTGCATAGGAATGGGCAAGCCCTTGAAAAATCCATTTTTTTAAAAAACCTTTTCTAAGCTGCAAATACATAATCTGTTCTTAAATTTTCAAACTGTTTTGGTTGGTTGATTGGTTAATAATCTGTAATTTTAAAGGTATTTACACGCTGGGTTACCTCAATACCAGCACCATCAGCCAGTTGAGTGCCAACATTGATATATTATTGTGCAATGCAGGTATCTGGATATAGATAAGTAGTGAGTTATAATAGTCATGTCAGGAAATGTGTAGAAAAACAAGTTCCTTATCTTAAATTAGAAAGGGGTGAATGTGGGCAATATTGTAAGGTGGAATCTACAGGACTTGGAGAGAAACTGGATGTGGCTAAGAAAAGGTAAGACCTTAATAAAAGTAAATCCAAAGCAGTAAGCTTGAGGGGCTGGGTTGTAGGGAGATAGATGGAGAGGGACTATTTAAATGAGAGTTCAGAAATATTGGATAAAAAACAGGAAAACAGGGTAATTTTCTTCCAAAACACAATGGTGACTTTATTTTATGCCAATTACCAGACATATCCCAAGATCTCAAGCAAAAAGAAAACCTGTGGGGTTGGGTGGAACAGAAGTAGGAAGAGGAATGTATGGACAAAAATCTGCAGAATCTGCCTGATAATATGTAGGTAGCTTGGACCAACATCCCAAAGGATTGTTTAGAGAAGCTTGTTGTATCCATGCTGCAAGGAATTCAGACTGTTGTAGATCCTAAAAGGTACATTTAAATGTTGTAAGCACCCCAATTACAATCTTAGCACACAAAGTGACCCAATACCACCAAAAAGGCTCCAGAACTGCTGAATGCTGCTGGAGATAGTCTCATTCTACATGTGATTTCCTGTACTATAGATTTATGCTACGCTCATACAGCTTGGGTCTTTCCTCTGCAAAAGAAGATTACTTCAATACCCTCATAACCATGCTCTCTCAAGAACCCAATCACCTCTTTCACATTTTAACTCTCTTCTTTGCCATTTTGCTACTGCTCCTCCTACTAACCTGACATCTACAACTTCACAACTTTCTTCACTGAGAAGATTTCTGTGATCAGGTAAAAGATCTCTAATCTCTTTCCTACTCCTATTTCCCCCAACCCCACTCCCTCCGCTGTTCTATGGTCACTCACACTCGCTATGCTAAAAGAGATTTCTGGTAAGGTCCTCCCGCCCCACCTTCTGTTTTGTAAATCCTATTCCCTAACATTTTATTTGTGCTCTGTCTCCTTCTCTTGCTCTATGCCTCACTAAAATATGCAATCTCTCCCTCTCCTCTAGCATATTTCTTTCACCCTCCAAGCATGCAACCATAACCGTGATAATAAAAAAGCACAACCTTGACCTTAACTTCCTATCCCTATCCAACTACTGCCCTATCTCACTATTACTGTTTGTCTCCAAGATCCTTGAGAGAGTTGTGTTAGCGAATTTGACCTCTTCCCTTGAATCCAACTCTCTGCTTGTCCCACTTCAGTCTGGATTCCGCACTTGTCACTCTGCCGAAATTCCCCTGACCAAAGTATTCATAGATTTTCTTGCTGCAAAATCCACTGGTCACTCCTAAATCTCCTTGATCTTTTTGCTACTTTTGGCACTGTTGATCATCAACAACTTTTTCTCATCCTCTGTAATATCGGTCTATGAGACTCTGTTCTCTCTTGGTTCGCCTCCTACCTCTCCCAGCTCTCTTTCAGTGTTTCTTTCACTGACTCTTCATCTTCTCTGAAATCCCTCTCTGTCAGAGTTCCCCAAGATTCTGTCCTACTGTTTTCAATCTATATCACTTCTATGTGGATGCCATATCTGTTTTCTCCTGATCTCTCTCCATTCCTCTTGATTTGTGTCTCGACTACCTCTGTGCTATTTCAAACTGCTGATCACTTCCTTAAATCTAACTTATACAAAACATAACTTCTTTCCTCCCTCAAGTGTTGCTACTCCCATGTCTGTGTCTCTCCAGGTCAATGGCTCTACTTGCAGGCTCACAGCCTAGGTATTCTCTGACTCCAACCTTGCTTTTAACCCTCATGTCCAGTCAATTGCCAAATTCTGCCACTTCTATCTCAAAAACATAGCGTGCAATGTGGGTAAGGCACTGGTCCATTCCACTATCCTCTCTTGACTACTGCAATCTGCTTCTCAGTGATCTTATGCATTCCCAACTTACACATGTATGGCCTGTCCAGGCCCCCCTAGGCTCTGCCGAAGACCTGCGTCTACCCTCTGTTCATACTCCCACCTATGACCTTCAAGAATTTTCTAGGGTTCCCTTCCTGCTCCATTAGAATATCATCCAGTCTTCATTTTTTTAAAAAGAATATAAAAAGCCCACTTCTTCAGGATAGCATATTAATTAAACTGTTAACAGTTTTCCCTCCCTGAACCTTGCTTCCTCTCCTGCAACTGCATCCAAAATTAAAAATAAAATATAGCCTTCATTAAAAAATATTCTAGCAACCTACTTTTCCCATACATAAACTATATCCCACCTTTACCTTTTGTGTTACTTTGCCCCACTCCCTCTAGAATGTAATCGGGCCCTCAACACCCTCTGTTCCAACTCGTCTTGTTACAAATACTTGTCTGTTACTCCACTCGTACTGCACTGCGGAATTTGTTGGTGCTTTAAAAATATTAATAAAAATAATAATTTTACAATTATAATAACAACGTGGTTACTATTTGCATATTGGCCATGTGGTCATTAAAGAACATTAATTCTGGTAATGTCAGTAAATATCATTAAGGTTGCTTACTTTGCTTTACAAAGCACATAATACCACATATTATCCTTTAATAACTAATATTTAACTACAGGAAAAATGACCCCCCCCCTCGAGTCAATGATTGCAAGCTGTCACGCATGGACACAATACTTACTCTGTGAGAAGAGCTTCATTCTCTCCTTTTGTCACATTGTATATTTCAACCGTATAAGAATCAACTGGATTGATGTTCCCTGAATCCCAGCAGATTAGGGCTGCATTCTCGCAACTACTGCATACTTCACTCTTAATAATGGGAGGTGATGGGGCTGGAAAATCACATAAAATATGTGTTCAAAATATTTTCTTTGTTATCATGAGAACATTTTCCTGACGGTAGGTTTTAAACTTTTGTAGGCAAATGCCTTTACAACATTTCTTGAGGGTTAGTCAAAAGCAACTTGCAACAACGCATTTCGCAGAACACCATGGAATCCATTACTGTTAATTACTCCATGATGCGCAGATTTTTGCAAAAAAAGCTTTTTCACCTTAAGTTCACTTCCATACTGTAGTGTCCAGATAATCATATCATATGTATATTAGCACCATGTTCTAGTACGACTAGACAAAAAAAAACCTGCGTTATATGCTCGTGGCAGAAAATTCAAAAGGTATCTTTTTTATTCAAATTGATTTGCTTTATTTTATTTAATTGTCTATGCAATTCTTTAACAATGAGGGTTTGGAGTGTCCTTTCACTAGTTCAGATAAGTGAATAAGACAGATTATTGTGTAACATTTAGATGGAATCCGCAAGCTAAATATTATGATAAAATTCTATATTTTTGATTTTATATGTAATATCTAACATTGGCCCACTAAACAAAAATTTCACTCATCGTTACATTCTCTATTTGAATTGTTCATGGGTGTTTTCTCCTCTCTTATGTGTATATAATATATTTAATTCTCTTGCCTCTTTATATAATAAATGAATATAAGACTGAAACCTTTAATATAAATGTATTTGCCTGATGAAGCGATTTAAAGGACCACTATAGGCACCCATACCACTTCAGCTTAATGAGGTGGTCTGGGTGCCTGGTCCATCTAGGGTTAGCCCTTTTTTCTATAAACATAGCAGTTTCAGAGAAACTGCTATGTTTATGTTAGGGTTAATCCAGCCTCTCATTGACAGCCGCTAGAGGGCTTCCGCGTTTCTCACTGTGAAAATCACAGTGAGAAGACACCAGAGAGGAGAAGAGGGAGGAGAGGAGGAGGAGAGCTCCCTGCCTGGCGCTGGAAAAAGAGGTAAGTTTAACCCCTTCCTCTCCATCCAGCCCGGTGGGAGGGGGACCCTGAGGGTGGGGGCACCCTGAGGGCACTATAGTGCCAGGAAAACGAGTATGTTTTCCTGGCACTATAGTGGTCCTTTAAGTTTTGTGTGAAATTATATTGAACTCAGTATTTGGTAGATATAGAACATTAAAAAGTGTTACCACCTTGAAGACACTTTACCTAGAAGAATAGGTAAATCTAATTTCTGTAAAATTAGAATAAACTGCTGATTGTTTGATTTTCTAAGCAAGACCTCGCTGGGCTCATGTTACCATTACCGGGCTGTGTTTTCCTTTACACTGAAGTCAGCAGGTTTAATATTGATATTCACCTGTAACATAGACAGCCCGTTCACTTGCAGGACTCCCACCTGTGATGTTGATAGCAATGACCCAAAATTCATACTGGGTGTTTGGCATGAGATCCTTCACTGTGCAATATGTTTCCTTAGCTCGTATCATGCATTCTGCAATAAAGAGACAAAACATAATAAATACTGGAAGAGTAGACAACCATTCTGATTTTGTTTTATTACATTGTAATTGTACGTGATATCTGTAAAAGAAAAAGAAATCTTGTGACATCCATGCTGCTTTTAATGTACGGAAATTAATAATGCCTACACTGATTATTCATGCAATCTGTAATTAAAGGACCATTATAAGTTTCAAGGGCACTTCTTCTCAATGAAGTGGTCTGGATGCAGTGGGCCTGCTATTTTTCTCCCGTATTATAAAACATTGTCATTTTAGAGATACAGCAATGTTTACATCGTGGGCCTAAATACACCTCTAGTGTCTGTTACACTGGCATCCTTAATAGCTGGTGCTTCCGCGGTGAGAATTGAGTCAGACTTTTGTACTTTTCAAATAATTTTTATTGAATTTTTCAAAAAAGATTTTAACCCCTTAAGGACAGATGACGGAAATATTTCATCATGATTCCCTTTTATTCCAGAAGTTGTGTCCTTAAGGGGTTAAAGAAATATACGACTAATGCAAAGGGTAAATAACAAAAAAAAAGGGATAAATGGGGACAGCAATCATGAAATTTAACAAGAGATATTAAATATAATAAGTAGAAGAAAATTCCATTTATTGCATTGTATATAAAATTAAAAAACATCAGCCCATTATCTGAAACTAACGATGTTGCGGAATATAAAAAACATTGAGATATAGGCTCTACATTTTAAAATGGCCCATGTCTTGACGTTCAACGTCTTCAAGCATTGCAAAGGTCCTCTGATGCGTCTCATAGAGAAGCATTGGACTCTTTGCTTTTCTGTGAGAAGCATTTGACTAGACAAAATGGTCTTTAAGCCTAATCACCTCAGCAGAGGCGATTTTATTTTTTGTAAAAGGGGGAAGGGGGGGAGGGCTGAAATGTAAAAATCCCCACTAGCACACAAAATAGTATATATTTATTGACCAAAATAGTGTATAGTAATATATTGTTTTGTAGCCATTTGTATTTGCCCATTGGATTGTTTATTTTGCAAATATCTAGGATGGGATTTCGTTAGAATCAACATCCAAAATACAGAAAATACTGTACTTTAAAGGCTGACTATTGCATTCTGTTACCCAAGACCAGTTAGGTGACACACTTTAGAATTTTAGCAGAGATTACCCCAGGATTTACTTGTATTTCAGAATAAATTGATCTGAGAAGGATAACAAGTCAAGCTACTAAAAGTAGGAGAGAAAGCTGGAATTAGACAGCAAAGGGAACAAGAGACATTGCTGCCTATGAGGGTATGAAGCATTAGATGACTGAGTACGAGAGGTCTCTGTGTAAGCAGAGAGCTAAATAGAAAGTTGTTTTAGTAACAATTTCAGCTTTGGGTTCAAGGAAAGTAATATAACAAAAATAAGAGAAAATACAAAAATCTGCATGTTCTTCATTGACCTGTAGAAGATTAAGGTAGAAGGAAAAAAAGTTGGAAGTACTTTGTAAATAAAAAATGTTTTCTAGACATCCAAAGTACCCGATATTATTGGATGTTTCCGAGAGGGCTTTTGGGAATGAACTTCTGTTTTAACCTCATACAGATCAACGATGGTCTATATGTCATCATAACAATTGGTTCTTTAAGGCTAATATTCCAAAATTGAACGGCTCACTCAGTTACTTACTGCTTAGCTGTACAGGGCTGCCAAAGGTAGGTAAGCGGAGTAAGCTGTGTTGCCCTAGGGTCTACAGGGCTGTTTACTAATATTTAAATGGCAATGCTCAGCAGCAAAAATTATATAGACAGTCCAAACATTATCAAACATTTATTAATAGTGCATGGGCAAAAAGTTTGGTTCAGTTCGGAAATTCGGGTAAGTAAAGAAATAAGTCTGCTTCGGCAATTCGGACCAATGGCATTCGGTTCGGTTTGGCAATTTGGAACTTTGGCAATTCGGACCCTAACCCTAAACCTAACCCTAACCATTTGTTTTGCTCCTAACCCTAAACCCAACCATAACCCCTAACCCTACCCACGTATTTTGCCACTTTTCAGAAATCCAATACACTTTGGCAATTCAGTTTGGTAAGGCACTTCAGAAATTCGGGACTTTGGCAATTCGAAAATTCGGCAATTCGAACTTCGGACATCTGTAAGCATCCGAATTACCGAAATGCACGAAATTTGTCCGAATGTATATTTGTAACAAAACAAATTGCACATGTCTATTTATTAAACACAAAGTTCAAGCTGCAACAAACAAAATGGAAAATGCATAGTAAACCAAGCCTTAATGTGTTTTGTGTTATTTGCACTAACAGGGTTCCTATCATGTAAATTTAACCTGCTTTTGTTGAAGAGCATACCATTTCAGATTTGATAGGAAATATACAGATTGGAAGAAAAACCTTATATAAAATAGCTCTTTCTATCACTTGTCAATCAATTCTTCAGCACAGAGTCTATGATGAAGAACTGAGTGCCATAGAGAGCTCCAACAGGAGCCCCTTCTGCTGTTCACACATAGCAACCACAGCGTATGGGCTGTGGTTGCTATGGGAACTCCGCAGCTAACTTTGCTGGCACTGGTGAGAGAGTATAGGAATGGAGTGACTGATGTCACAATGTCAGGATTCCAGCATGATGGCAATGACGCCAATGAGTCAGTGTCACAGGGGAGGTTTCACCTGGTTAGAAAGTGTTGCCAAGCATGGAATATCAATAAAGAGTGTAAGCAAAGCATAGTCAGAGCGTACATAGACCTCTGTTGAGTTTACATTAAAGAAACACTGTAGTGTTAGGAATATAAACATGTATTCCTAACACTATAGTCCTGGAGTGGGTGTGTAGGTCCCCTGCCTCCGTCAGATTGCAAAGGTATTTTACTCAGCTTTACTTCCCCGCTGCACTGTTCTCGCCACAGCTGGCCCTGCCTCCATGGCTGAGATCATCAATCCTGATGATCTCAGCCAGTTTAATGCTTTCCCATAGGAAAGCATTAGGAGGGTATTGTGCTTGGGCGGCAAAATTATGTGCTGTGGCAATCAGCATCTCCTCATAGAGATACATTGAATCAATTTTCTCTGAAAAGGCAGTGTTTACATTGAAAAGCCTGCAAGAACAGGCTATAGACACCAGAACCACTGCATTTAGTTGTTCTGGTGACTATAGTGTCCTTTTAATGAGAACTAAAAAGCAAATGAAACAGTGTGTAATATAAAGGAGAAACACAAGTTATATAATTAGATACAATTCAAATGCACATACTTACACAATTCAAGTAACTTGTGCCATTAAAATCAATATCTACACTAAAACCTTTGTAATCATTATAATGCTAGCCATAAAATCCTAAAACAACTCCAAGAAAAAAAAAGAAGATGATTATTTAAATTATACTATTTCATTCTATATTTGATGCTTTAGGATTATAAATCTTAGTTAGCTAGATAGATAAGCAGACACATATACCGACATTGTTACTAACTGTGACAGTATTCCTTTGTATGTACTCTTTGTATATAAACATACATGCTTTCTTTATTGGTTCAGAAGTAATTCATTGAAATGTCTGATGCTCCTTTTGCACCTCTAGGTTAAACTCTTACCTCCTTGATCTTCTCCAGGGGTTCCATCAGATACAGGTTTAAAGTACAGATGGTAACTTTCTACAGTGTCATCTGAGAAGAGGCTCCAGCACACACGTAGCGAGGTGGCAGTGGCGGAGTTCGGAGTCTGAGGGTTTAATACAGGAGCCGACGGAGCTGCAAAGAGAAAGATAAATAAGGATTATAGAGCTTTCTAAATGCTATGTTATGTCATGCACAATCATTGAGGATTTCAGGTTGATGAATGATGCTACGATATAAAAGCAAATAAAAGCCACCCATGGAGTGACTGAAGAAGAATGATCTCCTGCTCCTCACTTCTATCTTGTCTAATTAAATCCACTGTTTTTTTGAGAAATACACAGTACATTATGAGTTTGCCACTAGGATTAATTTACTTTTATCCATTTCATAAAGTCAACTAAACATTTAATAAAATTTGATCCATTTGTTAAAAGATAATGTATCTCAGGGGCATGATTTGGTGTGTGTGAACAATGGTTGTAGCTCCTCATATACCAGAACTAAAGTGGCTGAAAAACTGGCTTTTAAGGAAAATATTTTAGCTGGAAAACAGTTAACAATAATTCGTACTAAGTCCAAGAAAATGCAGCTTAAATTAAATCCCTATCCCGTGGACCACAGTAAAAATCTGGCGGCAACAGCGGACGACTCTCTGGCCTTGAGGCCATCTTGACCTCAGACAAAATGAAACTCATGTTGCAAGACCTGCGCAGAGACTTGCAGTCTGATCTCACAAGACTTCCCTCAGAACTGGCCAAATCTATAGGGGATCTGGGTGAGAGAACAGATAAGCTATAAAAAAAAATGGACAACATCATTGACTCACATAAGGCACTGGTGGATGAACACAAGGGGTTACCAGAAAGGACATATCGGCTAGAACATAAAATTGCTCAAGAAGGAATCCCTGATTGAGTATCCAATGTAAACCTCAAAATTTATTTCAAAGAGTATGTACATGACCTACCGTGTACACTGACTAATGAGGAATTTATAATGGAAGGAATCCACAAATTGTCTAAAGGACATGCGGCCCCACTGATGGCATCTAGGGATGTACTGGCCCGCAAACACTTCTTCACACACAAGACCCAGCTTTTCCTGGTGGTGTGTTCCACAAAAGTGCTCGCAGACAAATAATCAGCTCTACAACAAATGCCTGATTTGTCCTCATTTACTATGGACTGGCAGAACTTCTTCCACTGACTCAGGCTCTGAATAAACACTGAATAATCTACATGGGGGTTACCTCAACAAATTGCTCATCACTAGTAATGGGTCTACTAAAGCTGTGTCCACGCCGGTGGAGGGTACGAAGCTCCTCCATATGTGGGACATACTACTATCTATGAAGCCCACTTCGGAGGTGAAGTTGAGTGCCTTAATGGTCGATTGTACCCTCCACCTCAAGATCTCCAAAATTGTCACTATGAGGTTACTGGTGTATACCTGCTACAAGTTTCCTCTCTACTTGAGAGAGTGTAGGCCTCGGGTTATAATGGTTCCATTATGGTTTTCGTTACTTTACCCTCATTATGCCCAACTGAGGCTTGTTGATCTCTAACTATAATTATGTAGTCACCTAGTTAAAGGGAAACTATAGGCTAGGGATACAAAGTTATACCTTATAGTGCCCCCTCGATCGCTCAACCCCCCCCCCCACCTGCAGAGCAGAAACCCTTGTGTCACTTACCTGAAAGAATGCTCGCATTAGGTTTTAGATGACACTGGATGTCCTCATGCAAAGCGTGAGGATGTCCAGCGTTAGTTAGGCAACCAAAAGTCAAGTAACAACGCGGAAGTCTATTTAAGATTTATCAATATGCTCTGGAATATAGAGCCCCTATGCTCTCTCTTAATGTTGAGCTGCTATGTCCTCCAAATATGGTGGGAGGCGATTTCTAGAGTATCTCATTTTACATTATACTTCAGTTTCTAATTTTTTTATTAATTTTACTGATTTATTCTTACTGTTTAATGTACAGGGTGGCTTTGGTTTTGGTCATGGGGAAAATATATGTCACAAGTTGGGTTATAGCATCCATGTGGAACCGCAATATTGGACAGAGGTCTTGGTTCATACAAAATATTTGGTTATGTTTTGGAATTTACAAATATTTTCTCAAATGTCACTTATGAGCAGACATTACACTTATGTGACACCTCTGAACATCTCTGTACTCATACAACGAGAGGTCAGATTTTTGAAGCTGCAACTAAACACTGGGTGGACTTAACACCACAAATGCAGAGTTTTCTGGGAGGAAGTAAACAGGAGGAAAATTTACAGTATGTTTCCAAGAGTTTAAATCCAAGAGACACATTTCGCCTGAGGGAAAGTGCCCTATTTAGAATACACACTCTTGCCCCACATCTTCCATTCGCTTAACTACACTACAAAAGGAAACACATCTGTACTGTTTCAACACTCCCTCCAGTGCAGATACTTATCAGTTAAAAATAATGCCAAAGGAAGGTTTAACATTATCTCCTGCACAATTAATGTCTATTTACCAAACAATGGAGAGCAATAAACGGGTCGCAAGAGTATTCTGAGAACGGACAGCAACTTAAATAGCGTGCCCTTCGGTGGGTCCCCGCTCAGAACCCAAGCTGGTTTTAGCTCATGTTGTTCCATTACAGAGAGAACATATCTGAAGCATATCAGACTGGTCCCACCCATACGGGCAGTCCAGATCCGAAATGCCAGCAAGTTCTCTCTGCACGAGAGATACAGTAACCCCAGACGATCGTTTCAGCCTTGTTAGGCATCATCAGGGAGGCATAGCTGATAGCTGTCTAGGCACCGTGAGCAAGGGGTCCATGTCTGGATTACCCTTTAAACTTACAGAGAGCAAAAAACGGGTTGCAAGAGTATTCTGAGAACGGGCAGTAACTTCGGTGGGTTTTAGCTCATCTTGTGCCATTACAGAGAGAACATATCGTCAGAAGCCAATGTAATCTTTTATGGGGACTTTAATATGTTATTGTACCCTACTATAGACACATCCTCCAAAGGTGGGGAAGACAGGGATCACTCCAACTAGCACATTTAGATAGGACACATAAAGCAGTCAATACACCTAAGGTACATGAACAACTAAAGCAGATAAAACATGAATTGCATACATTTCAGTTAGAGGAAACTGAATTTATGCTTAAGACTCAGAGACAAATTTTACCCAAGTGGCAACAAAGTAGGTCGTATGCTGGCCACTAAACTCAGGAAACTAGAAGCATATAAATCTATCCCGTATTTGCTTGATGACAAAGGCCATAAGGTTTATGACCCACAGCAGTTGGCAAAATTCTATAAATCGCTATGCATATTTTCCTGAACGCAAATCCACCAACCTAGTCCAGGAGATATAGAGTTCTTTTTTCAAGGGATCACTTTACCCTGAATAACTGAGGCACAAGCCTCTATGCTCACAGCACCAATCACCACTGATGAAGTAGAAAAGGCTATCAAATCCTTACAATTTGGGAAATTGCCGAGGCAAGATGGCTACACAGCTACTTGTTATAAGAAGTTTCCTTAACCCTGCTGCCATATCTCACAATACTATTAAACCCCTACATCCTTCACCCAAAACCAAGTAAACTGCCTACTAGGTGTGCCAATCTAAGACCTAAATTCTTGGCAGGGGCCTCAAGGGGTGCATAGCGACCAGGTGGGGTTTGTACAAAGGCAGCAGGCATCATACGACCTCTTGACTTGGTCTCCCACGGTAAGGTCGAGTGTCTTCTCCTGTCCTCGGATGAGGACAAGGCATTCAACTGGCTGTATGGGGGATATGTGAGCCCAGGTGGCATGAGTTCGTACCTTGGTATGCCTGTCTGAGAGCTTTGAGATAAGCAATGGCACAAGACACTTTTCTATGTGCTTCACTTGGAACCATAGGCAAGCAAAATTAGGTCTGTAACTAAAATTAAAGAATTTGAGATACAATAAAAGGCAAAGCAAAAAATAACCATGTTTGCAGTTGACATCATGTTAATGCTTCAAGATCCCTTGAAGTTATGGTAATGTATCACACCATAAAGTGAACACTGCTAAATCTCAGGCGTTAGGTGTGAACCTATCACTAGAGACACATATGAGTTTGACTAGAAACAAGACTGTGTTCAATACCTAAGCATACAGATATTCCCGATGATCTCAGTGATTTCTCAGGAGAATCTACAGAGTGTTTGGGCCCAAGCTAGAAAGGACTCAATATGAGATCTCCTGGACCGGGTAGTGTGCCTCAATCACCATGATGCTTTCACCTAGATTTTTGCATATATTCACGTTTCAGAACTATCCCACTACAGTTTCATTAAATTACATTGTGCAAGAATGCTTTGAGCAGGGGACTTGGGGTATCTAACAAGTTATAGAAATCACAGTGGCTCACAGTAAGTTATATGAGTATATACTTATCAAGAATGGCTGTTTCCAGGGACTCCCCAGGTCCCAGGTAGATCCAATATGCACAAACGAACAAAGGGATAAACAGCAACACACAAGTATTAGAGGGCCTTTAATACTTTTCTTTATATCTCCATGGATCATCAATCCTCAACAGAATAAGGATAATAACCTCAATAATATTAAATGAGATACAAATATGTAGGACCCCCAAAAAATAAAATCAATAGCACATTTATTATATACGTAACGTAATAACATATAAAAGAAGTATGTAATCAGCTGCACCAGTGATGAGGTCACCGATGCATTTCATCACTTCAGGTGACTGCTTCAGGGCATACTTGAATAATGGAAATTAAGTCCTCCTTTAGTGATGTGATATAAAGTTCAGTTCGACTATTTAAATATCCCTCCCTGCCATCCCACAGGTTCCCCCTTTATTGTCCATCCAATTGCAGCATTTCTGAATGATGTATGCCTTTCATTTCATTGACCAGCAATGACAAGTGCATTCCAGCACGTGTCTCTCGTCTGATTCGTGACAGAAATTACGCTTGCATTTCCCTTTGCTGCTTACAAACATTTTAATATATACATAGGGAAGCTAAACCAAAAAGGTTATGGAGGGGGTTAAAATGTGATTGAAAACCCCTTCCACCTGCAGTCTGTAGATAGTTAATACAATGTTAAACAAAAATCTGCACACCAGTCAAGTCATAAGACTTGCTTTTCCCACAGAAATCCCAAATCTGCAGTGATGTTACTACCAATTAATTGTCATCACTGCAGATTTGTGATTTCTGTGGGAAAAGCAAGTCTTATGGCTTGACTGATATATAGTAGTGTTGATTGGACTAGCCGTATTAGTCCTGTAGACAATATGCCATATTACTGTATCATTGCATATTGCAATACTCTGGTATTTTGGCATTATATATATATATATATGTATATATATATATATTTCAGTTTTAAAAATTATTTCATGTATAGCATTTATAGTTCTTATTATTGGACTTTCAACAATAAAGTCTTTGTTTTGTACAAATGTGTTACTCAGGAGTGTTTTGTGTTCAGAATGCTTTTAATAATGAAATGGACATATAGTAACATTGTGAGACGAAACCAATATGAAGTGGATTGAGAATTGTATAATTGTTTCTGTCGAGCATATTAAGTGGAAAACGGTTAAAACCCCTTAATTCACTTACCAGAATTCAGTGCCGATGTCCCTTTAGCCCCATCTGCTGGCCATGGGAGTGTGCATAGTGGGATACTATGTCCCCCTACTTTATTATTGAATTATTAGCATATCTTGTGGCCAGTGATCTGTCCAACACACTCTTTATTTTACAGCCCTCACCGGATACCCACAGTGGGCATGGGAGGACCTATAAAACGCCCCATCTGCACACTAATACTGAGTGGGAGCAATAGCAATAATCTTTTATTATGGCGAGCAGTCATTTGATGCTAACTGTTTAGCAGACATGCACCCACTCATGGTATGGTAGGTGGGGGCATGGGAGAGGTGTTAAACCTCCCTTGTACTCATGTGCTTTTTAAACTATTTGTCCACTGGCTATTAGTGCTGTTAGTGGGCATTTGATCATCATATCGCAGATTATGCCCTTGATAATTGGCATTGAATCGCTAAGTATACTAAAAATTTTAAGCATTTTTTGAAAATCAGTATTATTTGAAACAATATTTATCAGCTCACGATAAGCCTTTAACAGTGGGAATTAAATTGATTCAAAACCATGGCTTATTGGGAGCCAATAAACTGCCAATAAATGTTATTGGCTGGATTGTAATCAAGGTCTAAGTTTCAACAAGCACAAGGCTAGATATAAGTGTATGAATAATAAAGAGGGAATACGGCAATACTACCACAGAGGGAGCATCCCATTGGCTGCATGTGAAGCTTTCTCAGTTATTGACACAGTTACTCCTGACCTGGGGAGGTGCTAAATTCTAAATCCACCTGCAGCTTCTCTCTATTCTTTCTATCTAAATGTAAGCATCCTGGTTAAATAATTTGATATTAGTATTATTGCATTCTAAATCAATTACATTACATCGTTATAAATAGATAGATCGATAGACAGACATGTAGATAGAGAGAGATTGCAAAATGTCATACTAACATTACCTGGGATTATATTAATGGAGTCCAGAAGCTGTTCTACTTCAGAGAAATCTACACTGCTGTTTTTGAATTCTGCGTTTGTTGATATGTTTAAATCCAAATCTTTATTTAAATATGCATTCAATCTGCAAACAGAAATGAATATGTACTTTACAAAACATGGCACCTTAATAAATGAATTAATAAGATTGCAAATTGGTAACACCTTTCTGGACATTGCGTGATCAACACTGTCTATTGTGCTACTTTGTTAAGTTCTCTAGCAGTTGATATCCTACTGCTTTAAATGCCTGATACATTTTTGTCACATAAGCAAATAAGTGTTGTTATGATGAATGGCCCATAAAGACTCTCCTCTTTTTCTCGTATCTGTGTAATATTTATGACTAGTGTTCTGCGTAAACTGGAAGTGGACAGATGTATGGCTCCAATGCGCTCCTATAAAGTTCTGCAGATGTTGTTTGTGATGGGCTGGTCCTATCACCATGACAATTGGTGCAGGACTCCAAGACAAACCCTCCCCAAAAGAGTTAAAATCACGCGGCTCACCTTCCTGTGCTGTGCCATCACCCGCTGAACATCCAGGATGCTTAGCCGGACTTCCTAGCCGGCTTTAATGATCTTTGGAGGCCGCCTTGGCTCATCCTAAACACTAAGCACTTGACCGGGAGATACCCTGAATCACTCTGGAACTGCTTACTTGATCAGAACTGTGCCGAGTTTCGAGAATAACGCTATAATCACTCTAGATATCCTGCTCCAGAGAAAGGAACCACAAGCTTAGTTATAGCCATATTTCATGGCACCCATTGCTCTGCTATTATGCAGGGCCGGCGCTACCTGTAAGGCGACCTAGGCAGCCGCCTAGGGCGCACCTTAACAGGGGGGCGCCGGATCCCTGCGCCCGGAGTCACCGCGGATTTGAGTGACCGGCAGGAGGGAAGCGCAGAGCGCTCCCTCCCGCCAGTCTCTCAGTGTAGCGTGGCCAGGCGGCGTGGAACGCGGTACAGGAACCTCTGTTTCCTGTACCCCGCCACCGGTTGACTGACAGGAAGTGCTCACTAAGTGAGCACTTCCCTTCAGTCCGCCGGCGGCCAGGAACAGGAAACAGAAGTTCCTGTCCCGCGTTCCGCGCCGCCCGGCCACGCTACATAGGCAGGAGGGGTGTGGGGGTGTGAGTAAGGACGGGGAGTAAGGAACACAGGGGAGGGGAGGAGGGTAGGACCACCAGGGGGGAGGGTGAGTAAGGACCAGGGGGGAGGGAGTAAGGAACACCAGGGGAAGGGGAGGTAGTAAGGAACACAGGGGGGGGGAGGGGGGGAGTAGGACCAGGAGGGAGGGAGTAAGGACCATGAGGGTGAGTAGGACCAGGAGGGAGGGGAGTAGGACCACCAGGGGAGGGGAGTAGGACCAGGGGAGGGAGGAACCAGAGGTGGAGGGAGGGAGTAGGACCAGAGGGAGTAAGGACCACTGGGGGAGGAGAAGGAGGGAGTAAGGACCACTGAAGGAAGAGGGAGGGAGTAAGGACCACAGGTGGAGGAGAGAGATGGGGCGAGTAAGGACCACTGGGGGAGGAGAGGGATGGGGGTAGTAAGGACCACTAGGGGAGGAGAGGGGAGTAAGAACCACTGGGGAGAGTAAGAACCACTGGGGAAGGGGGGGAGAAGGAACACAGGGGAGGGGGTGGGGAGTAAGGAACACTGAGGGGGAGGGAGGGGAAGGTCCACTAAGGGTTTTGGGAGAGGGAGGACCACTAAGGGGGGAGAACAGGATAATGACCACGGGGGAGGAGATTACCACTAAGGGGGTGGGGGGAGGAGGGGAATGTCTACTAAGGGGTTTGGGAGAGGGAGGGCCACTAAGGGGGAAGGGGGGACTACAGGGGGCCAAGGGAGAGCACTAAGAGACAGAAGGGGAGAACACGGAGGGACAGGAGGGAAGGGGAAATCAATAATTGACAGGGGGGAGAGCACTATGAAAAATAAAATAAAAAAATAAAGAGCAGCTCCCCTCTCAGTCCCTATCCTACCCCACAAACCCTCTCTTTTACACTACACACATACACAATGCATCCACACACACACACAGAAACATACAATGCATTCCTACTCAGACACACCCGAAACACACAATGCATCCCTTAAGTTCACACAAACACTCATTCTCTTACACACAGAAACAAAATGCATCTCTTACACAATCAATGCACCCCTTACAGACACACACTGCATTCAATTAAATACACAGAAACACACCTTGCACCCCTTACACACACACACCCAGAAACATACAATGCATTCCTTACACGCAAACACACACTGCATCCCCTATAAACACACTACATCCCTTACAGAAATTGGTATCCCTATACACTACATTCTATAAGAACACACACACATTGCATCCTCTACAATAACACATAAAACATCCCCTCACACATACACTCCACTTCCTGTGAGAGAACTCATGGGTGGGCCATGTAGCTGGATTTATGGGTGGGCATTGTAGGCATACTCACGGTCAAGCCCTGGGGGCCCAGACCCTGAGCTGTGTAAGGGGCCCTAAAAAATGGAGCTGCTTCCTGTTCGTTAATTGTTGTGAGCACTGTTAAAAACAGTCTCCTGAGAGCCTCTTCTACACCAAACCTGTGGAGCCAGACAGAGCCCATCATCAGCCTCTTGTCCTCATCTGGTGGTAAGTAGGCAATCCAATATATTATTAGTGGCACTAATCTCTAATTTACCTCACATTAAATGGATACTATAGTCACCAGAAGCACTACAGCATAATGTAGTGGTTCTGGTGTCTATAGCCTGTTCCTGTAGGCTTTTCAATGTAAACACACTGTCTTTTCAGATAAAAGACACTTTGTGAAGACTGGCGTTGGCCCATATGGCAGAGCATATGGGTGGGGTATTGTGATGTCACATGGTGGGCAGGACATATGGGGGGGGCGGCAAAAATCCTTGCACTGGCCCTGCTATTATGTTAACGCAAACGCGCCCATTTTAACCCATTTCAATGATAAACGTGGTGTAGCATACTCCACATATCTGACTTAATACATGGAAGAAATGGATTATATTCAGAGACATAAAATCAAGGCCATTACCTGTTTGTTGTGTCTAACGCAGTCTGCAGACAAAGAAAAAGAAACACTTATTACTATCACCTTCTCTTATACAATATTTACTCAAATACACTTATACAACATATATTATACAATATAATATGTAACATATTCTGGTACGTAATGTCCCTTTACATATAACTGGTAATTGTGCAAATTCTCTTTTTTATTTGAATAGTACTCCTTTGCTTGTATTACAGTAATGTCACCAATGGGAATAATTAATTACATAACTGAGTGTTCACTTGCAAATATTAAGTAGAAAATATCTCAAATCATCTCTAACAAAGCAACCAGTCTGAGCCAAAAACTCTGTATTATTTACCAGAATATTTTTACTTACATTTTGCACATTGTTGTTCAACTGATTGTTTATAATGAGAACATACATAACAAAATAAGAGTCTTTTAACATAATTTTTTTTTAAATTCTTTTAAAAGAATTGACAAGCTACTCTGTTTTAGTGCAAGATTTCAAGGGGAGCAGTCATTTCGTCAGAAATTTACCTTAGAATAAAACAGAAAATTACTGATATTTTTTTGTGTGTGTGTCATACTCCATTTAAAAAATGTAAAAGAACATTACAATCCAGTTCAGTCCTGGCACAATCAAGGCACACGCTGCTCTGGAGGATTAGAAACAGAAATTTTGTTTGTTTCTCCTCTGCCAATTTCTATATTCAGTGACAGAAACAGGCATTGAACTGCAACAGGCAGTTCCAGGATAGAGCTAATTACAACATTTTGGATTTTCATACTTCACAAACAAATATTTGTTTTTAAAAAAAGGGGATAAGTCAACATACAATTAAACATCCTGGGCGGTAAGTAATACTTTAATATGCTTTGTTACAGGAACCTTAACTGTGTTGCCTATTTCAACGGCCATTAAAGTCAGTGTGCAATAACCTTAGAACCTCAATGATTTATGAAATTAATTTCCCACAATGCTCAGCTGTCATCACGGGGAACTGAGTTCACAAATATCTGGGATATCAAGGTTAGCGGACACTGATTTTTGTCATATGTTTCATGTCTAGAACTCATCAGCTCTACAAATCGGATGCAAATATTCACAACCTTTACCTTTACAAACTCCACTTTCTCCTTTCCTTTAAACAGATTCTGGATTGTTTCCATCAAATCTTTAGAGGTGTCCAAACTTTTCCCAGAATCGATGAGCTGCTCAAACAATGATTCTAACTTGAGTTTTTTTTCGTCTCCCAGAGCTTGCACATTATCCTCGTGTTTTTGAGCAAGCACGTCCATTATTTCGCTGTAGTGCATCTCAACGTTTTGCTCTTGTCTCACAAAATTCTCCTGTAATTATCACAAAATGTTAATGTGACAGACTGCCTGCTGAGTACCAGCAGTGACCTTGCAGAAGCTTGAGAACATGATGCTCATCGGGTCTTAGACATAATACTTACATCTATTGTTATAAATATCTCTTCCAGATGACTTGCAAAATTCTCCATCTGTACTATTTGTTCTTCCAATTTTGTCATATTCTTATGTATTTCTTCCTGTTAGACAGAGATTAAAAATATAGGCCATTACTAGACCCATGCTTTGGCAAACATCATCAAATGGTCTTTATGGTGCTTCTCAGCTTAATTTTACTTGAGCAGATAGCATGATATATTAACCATGTTAATCTTTGTCATTTAAATAATAATCATCATATAGAATAACAAAGGACATAGTCTGTTTATTTATTTGGGAAAAAGGATGTCCAGTATATTTTTATTTTTGTGGTTAGGGAGGAGTTGAAGGCCAAACAACAGTTTTACCTAGAATCAAATTAAATTATAACTTGAATAATCTTAATAATGTATGTTAATTGGGCAAATGGAAATTTATTAGTATTTCAGTTAATCAAATTTTCGCAATATATGTATCAACTGAACTCTTTTTTATCCCAATGTCACTCTTTTTCTAAGCACTCTATGTTGGTGCTGTGTATTAGTGTATATATATTTACACAACAACAAAACTCACATTAATGTGACTTTAAACTTCAATAAATGTATTTGTAAATAGATCTATGTATATAACATACTTTGTTATATATCAGTTACATTTTTACTTATACATTTAAGGGAGTCACTGTTCTAAATCTAAAATTCTGCTTTTCTGTATAATTTTTTATATAAGAGGATGTTTTGCTGCCTCTTCCAAACATTTGTCTCTTCCAAACATGCCTCTCATGTCCAACATTTCCCATTCTTAAATACTTCCTTCTTGTTGGCTACAGTACCTTTGTACAGCTCCCTCTTTGCCCTACTTCCTAACCTACAGTGCTTTATAACACATTTGTACTTGTCCCTTGGATGTACAACTAAACATTCTAAACCTTCTAATTATGCTTTCAGAGTTTCTATATGGTATATATTTAAACTTAGTGCTGTTAACGTAACTACAATTCCCAGAAACCTCTGCTCTGAGCAGAACTGAGCCTCTAAAGCGAGAACTTTGATTTCATCTAATCCTCCCAATTTTGTCCTACCTTTACACTTTAACCTTTGCAGAAGTGGGTTAAACATACCCAGAAGATCAGACTCTAGACCGAATAAAGGCCCTGATTTAATATTCTTGGATAAGCATTCCAAATTACATGCCTACCAACCGTCCCAATTTCATCAGGACAGTCATGATTTTCAGTTCTTGTCCAGCTGTCTCGACTTTGTTCCTAAATGCTAGAGGCCTAAACAGTCCACACAATGCCTCCTCTTTAAAGATGCAGCTCATTTCAATGTGGCTATAATTTTTCAGATGAATCAGAAATATGAATATTTACAAGGGATTTAGAAGGTTTAGAAGGGTGCTTTTAGCTCCTAACAGGTCTAACTTAACAATGAACTTCTCTTTGTTCATATTCCAAACACATGGCAAACCCACTTCCTAACCCACTGCCTAAACGAGGTAAGTAAGCTCTAGACAAAAAGGATCTTGCAAATAAGCATCCCGCTCCAGGGGAGGTGCAGTTGAGTGGTCAGTTCCAAGCACTTTTAATCATATTCCAGTTACATCACATTTGGACAGAGCAACATCCACATGAGCAAGACTTTACTTACTACTCAGCAGGCCACAAGCAGGACTCATGAATAGATTTATGTTTGACAAATCTTTATACGCTACAATCACTGGTCTCAGCTAGCATACAAATACTATCAGAGGCTCCTGGAAGTTAAATGAAGCACTGCTCAACATTCTCACAATACTGAAGTATATAGCAGCCTGTATAACACACATTAGTTGTATATTCTGTAAATTAACCGTTTATTTCTGGATGCATTTTCTGTTATGTTATATTGAAAAACCTTCAATAAAGATCATACATTTAGAAAAACAACAATCCATAGTATTAGAGTAAGATGGTATATTCATTCACTACAATTACAAAGTGTTTAAAGCCAACTGTTGTTTTTAAGATCCAATATATGCTAATGTTTTTTGCAAACTTTTATTTTTATATTGCTTTTACTAGGCAATAATTATAATTATTTTTATATACATAATATAGAGTCGTCAAACCTTGATGTTGTCAACGGCAGCTGTTATTTGTGTGACATCGTGATCTTTGTGAAATCCAAATAGCTTGTCAAATGCCCTGACAGGGGTTTTACATGTGATGCAGAATATATCAGGAGACTCAGGAAGTTCACTTCCATCACTAATCTCATCGGTGGAGACCATGGAAGCTTGGTTCTTATCATGGTCAGTATGTTTACTTTTCTGGTCTGAGTAATTTTCCTTAAATTCTTGTTCTTCGCCTTTGTGGTCTCCGCTGTTTTCATCATCATGTTCACGTTGTCTGTCTTTACGTCCATCTTCTCGTTGTCCATCAACATAGTCAACGTGTCCAAGTTTAGGTTGTGATTCTTCGCCTTCCTGCTCTAGAAGAGGTTCTCCCTTGTTATCAAAATGTTTGTCTTCCAGTTCCATGTTTCTTTCATCATTTTTGTTGTCAAGAGACTCTCTATCATTTTTAAGATTGCTATCTTCTTTAATCTCTTTGTCATCATGAAAATGCCCTTCTTTCTTAACCTTCAGTTCAGCATCTTGGACATGAGGGCTTATGTTTTGTTTGTAAAATGGCTGTATTTTTTGTGTATAGGGATTTGTAGATTTAGGTAACGAGGGATCTGGGTGTTTGAATGTCGTTTGTGGGAAAAACTGGATTAATTCTTCTTCTTCTTTGTCTTCAGAAAGTCCATATTGTTTTGCCAGTTCATCCACTTCTTTTTGTAAATTTAATTGTGCCTGCTCTGTACTAAAAGTCCATTTTTCTACAACCACTTGTTGATTAAGTTTTTCTTCTGCCTGATGCAGGTTAAAATCTTCAGGAAATAGTTGTAATCTCCCCTGGGAATCATACAGATCTGTGTGATAAAATGTCAGGCCCTCAGGCTCTGGTTCATTGTCCTCTTGTGCAATCTCATATTGTCCCCCCTCTTCATGGTTAACTGTGTCAGTATCTTCTGGACTGAAGACTTCAGATGTGTCAAGTACATCCGAATCCATCATTAAATGCAGAATAATTGTTCTATGTTTATTTCTCTCTGGGCTAAAAAAAAAAGGATTAAAAAAATAAATACAAAAGCAATACTAATAGTCATATTGTAACTATGCTTGCCCTTATTAATAACAATGCAATTGTATCTATATATTTTAGACCAGTTGAAAGCATTTTAATGAAATTACATAAAACCACATACATGCACGGACGTATTAGCCGCGAGGCAAACAAGATGTGCGAGGGAGCTGAGCAGACCGCTCAGAGGAAGTGCTCCCCCGCCCGCCCAGCAGCCAACCCATCAGCCCGACCGGCAGCCACTGGACCCCCAGGGAGAGAGAGAACCCCACACCCCCCCAGCATTCCCAAAGGTAAGGAGGATGGGGGGGGTTAAATAAAAAATTTTAAAAAAGTGTTAATATGAGTGATTGTGTGTGTGTCTGACTGTGTGCGCACGGACGTATTAGCCGCAAGGCAAACAAGGCATTTGCCTTGGGCGGCATTTTTCAGGGGTTGGCAAAAAACGCCGCCCCCAAATGCCCAGGGCAAATGCCTAGTTAGCCTTGCGGCTAACTGACATGCTGGGCGCTGGGCGGCGCTGGCTGGTGGTCGGCTGGCGAAGGAGCTCTTCCTCTGAGCGGTCTGCTCAGCTCCCTCGCGCGCCGATGGGAGCTGGAATACGACGTCATCTTCCAGCTCCAAGCCTCACTCTGCGGCGCGCGAGGGAGCTGAGCAGACCGCTCAGAGGAAGTGCTCCCTCGCCACCCGCCCGCCCAGCAGCCAACCCATCAGCCCGACCGGCAGCCACTGGACCCCCAGGGAGAGAGAGAACCCCACACCCCCCCAGCATTCCCAAAGGTAAGGAGGCTGGGGGGGTTAAATAAAAAAAAAAGTGTTAATGTGAGTGATTGTGTATGCGTGTGTCTGACTGTGTGTTTGTTTGTGTCTGACTGTGTGTGTGTGTGTTTGTGTCTGACTGTGTGTGTGACTGTGTTTGTGTCTGACTGTGTGTGTGACTGTGTTTGTGTCTGACTGTGTGTGTGTGTGTCTGACTGTGTGTGTGTTTGTGTCTGACTGTGTGTGTGTGTCTGTGTAGTTAGAAGGTGGGGCGGGTGGGGCAGCACAAAACCAGGATACACCACTGCATACATGTGCTTACATTGATTTAAAAATGCATTTTTCAAGAGGTTTTCACAATACTATAAAATACATATTTGAATATTGAAGTCGGTATGTCACACATATTACATATCAGAGCTCCAATCACAAGAGGAATGGCGGTTTTAACTCAATTACAGCTTCCATTTGTATATCAACACTGAATTTTGCCCTTTTGGCAAATTATCAGCATTATAGAAGCTCACTGCTGTGAAGATTATGTAATGCAGTGAATTAAATAGAATTCTAGGTATATAGGCCCCAGTCTTGAGAGACAGGACAATAGCTGATGTTTTAATAAAGTACTTATGGTACTAGATGTGAACTATATTTTGTTCACGGCCAAGGCAAATGTTATAATGCATGTGTGATATATTCACTAAACAGTCAGTTGTGATGATTTGACTCCTGAGTTTTAATTTAGGCCAAAATTAAAGGGACTCTCCAGTGCCAGGAAAACAAACACATTTTTCTGGCACTATAGAAGTCCTGCTCTTCATCTCATGTTGCTGAGGGGGTTAAAACCCCTTCAGACACTTACCTGAATCCAGCGCCGATGTCATTCGGCGCTGGGTCATGCTCCGCCCACGCTCATCCCGAGACCTATGCGCATGCGAGGCAATGGCTGCGCATGTATTAGGAAAGCATTATTCAATAATAGGGATTCTGGCCACGGTGAAGGTCCTCATGCAGAGCGTGAGGACGTCAAGCATCGTTTAAGCAACCAAAAAATCATTTAAGAACCCCGAAGTCCCTCTAGTGTCTGTCTGATAGACAGCCAATGGAGGAGGACTTAACCCTGCAAGGTAACAATTGCAATTTATAAATACTGCAATAATTACATTTTCAGGGTTAAGGGTGATGGGAGTTGGCACCCAGACCACTCCAATGCGCAGAAGTGGTCTGGGTGCCTGGAGTGTCCCTTAAAACATGTCCTCTATTTCTAAGATGATTTTAATGGCCTATATTTTATATGTCAATTTTCATCTCAACAAAGCTCCCAGTTCACTGAATGCATCTACTAAAAGAAAGAAACTACTGAAGAATACCTACAATATGAAATAAAACGCTTCATAGAGTGCTTTAAAGTTCCCAACATTGCTTCCGTTCTGGATCTATAGTGCTACCATTAAATATTTTATGATTTTATGCAACCTGCAATATGTTTTGAACTTGAAAAATGGTCTAATGGATCTTGTTTGTTTGGCCACTTTAACACATTAAAGTAACAATATAGGGTCAGGAACACAAATCTATTACTGACCTTATAGTGTTAAAACCACCATCTAGCCCCCCTGAGCCCCATGCCCTCTTAAATATTGCAAACTCTTACCTTTATTCCAGTCTGCTGCTGCTGGCTCTGCTCCAAATCTGCCTGCTTGGCTGACATCAAAAGTGGTGTTCTGAGCCAATCACAATGCTTTCACATAGGAAAGCATTGGATTGGCTGTGCTTGTCAAGGAGGCAGATCAGGGCAGAGCCAGCACAAGCCAAACTCAGCACTGGCCAATTAGCAGAATCTCATAGAAATGCATTGCATCAATGCAGCTCTATGATAAAAGCTCAGTGTCTCTATGCAGAGGGTGGAGACACTGAATGACAGTACTGCACAGTTTGCAGCACTGCCCCAGGAAGCACTTCTAGTAGCCAACTGAGAAGGGGCCAGTGGAGTTAACCCTAGGCTATAATGTAAACATGGCCTTTTCTCTGAAAAGACATTGTTTACTGCAAAAAGCCTGAAGGAACTAATTTTATTCACCAGAACAAATACAATAAGCTGTAGTTGTTCTGGTGACTATAGTGTCCCTTTAACTAAACAGAATTGTAGTGGATTAATAATCATATGGCAAAATTCTATCTAAACTTACCAAGCTGTGATTATAGCCGAGTTGGAACGTTTCTTCCAGTTCAGCTCTTTTTTTTATAAAATTTGTAATACAGTTTTAATTTCACAATTTGGTATTTAGTGAAAAACATGTAATTGTATGCAATTATTTTGTACATTTTGTGCACAAACCCATCATTGTATTTGAAAGAAAATATGTTAAAGAAATAATTTTCTATCTTCACTCATTTTATTTGAGGTCTTTAGGAGGTTATGTATGAAGATGCAATTCTGGAGCAAATTTCAAAAAGTGAAGTTATTACCATGACGACCATGGATGTTCCTGCTGATTGTCCCACATTTAGAACTTTGCACCAGAGTAACATATATCCCAAGTGTTCCCATATAGGAGAGTCAATCCCTATTTTTTGGTCCAATTCCCTCTGTCCCTCTTTTCTATCCCATAGTCTCTTTTCTAGGAGCTCCATATTGTTGGTGTGTCTGAGTGTATAACAGCTTTACAGCAATAATACTCACAGTAATGTGTCTTTAAATTACAATAAATGTGTTTAGAAATAAATCTGTATAATAAGATACTTTTTCTTGTTCTCAATTACATTTTAGTTGCAATTAGTAAGTCACCTAAAACTTCTCAGTACAGCCCCGCCCCTCCACACTCCCATTCACACCCCTAAAATGAAAGTGTCCCTCTATGTACATTTGAAATGCTGGGAGGTATGGAATTACACTGTACACATGACCCTCGTTGTGCTTTATTTATTAACAAACAGCTCTTATTATGAAGAAACGCTGGCTTTTTAGCTAGTGATAGTAATAAAATGTAATATGAATATATCCAAATTTTCAGGAGTACTGCATGCAGTATTAACAAAATGGAACACCAAACCAAACTATATATACCAATAGATTTTGGAATGTAGGCACATATCACACACATATTTAGACTCTGTGGCTACACATTAAAATATAAGGAATACAATTACTTAATAAAAATATAGAAAATAAGTTTAAGATATATTATCCAGTTATTTACCTTCAGATCTAGATTCTGTGCTAATTCACATACAGGAGAGTCAGAGCTGTGTTTCAAGATCAGAGGCTTGAAAATCCAAAAGTAATTTTAGACATAGTGCCCAGACATACGGGTACTGAAACATTGAGGGACTGTGGTAAATATAGGTCTCATCCAGCTGTCCTCCTCTCCTCAAATATCAGTGGGAAGCGTTTCAGACGTGTGACATAGAATAGCTCTTAGCATTTACAGCTAGATACTGATAAAATACAGAGGTAAAGAATCAGGAATAGTCACTAACTTTGAAAGAAGTATATAAAATGTACATTTCTAATGTGCCATCCCATGCACAGGAATAGTGTTTTGGATGTGCAGTCATTTCAACCTCTGTTACATTTATGATCAATTTCTTGGATGTGAGAAATACAATAAGACATATATTGGTATGCATGAAATTATTATTTTTAAATTAACCTAATAAAGATTATGCACAGTTCGATTTGTAATATCACTGTTTGTTTAATCAAAATGTCAGATTTCATACAATTTTACATTTTTAGTTTAAACCAAAGGAGGAACTAATGAACATACGGCCCTGGTGCAAAAATAGTTTTTATTAATCTTAAAAGTGACTGGGCAGGGGCGTGGCCAACTGCCGAAAAAAATGGCTGCATAAAGGTTGGTTATTTTATTTATTTTATTTTTAAAGTTTTTTTATTTATTTATTTATTTTTGTTGTTGTTTATGATTAGTGATGTCCCGAATGGATCGCCGCGGATGGCGAACATATGCAGTAAACTTTGACCCTGTACCTCACAGTCAGCAGACACATTCCAGCCAATCAGCAGCAAACCCTCTCTCCCAGACCCTCCCACCTCATCCATTTTACATTCATTGTGAAGCTGCATTCTTAGTGAGCTGTCCAGGAGGTGGGAGGGTCTGGGAGGGAGGGTCTGCTGCTGATTGGCTGGAATGTGTCTGCTGACTGTGAGGTACAGGGTCAAAGTTTACCGTGATATGTCTCCGTCCGTGGTGTCAGAGTATTTATATCGGCAGACATTTTGTGCTATGATAGAAACTAAAAGTGTATATTCTGAGTCACTCTGAACAGACCAGACTCCATTTTGTTATTTCAAGTTAACAAAAAGACACTATATTTCTATCTGTAAGCTAACCACTTTCCCAGAGCTCAGGAATGCATAGTATATACAAGCCAAGTGATAAGGAAGGGGGTTGGACAGACTGTCTAATGCTAAAAGAATATAATCATATCTAAACCCAGACAATTGTGACAGAGAAGATTAAATAATTTAATTTTACTGTCTATACATATAAGGTACCATTGTATGGAAAAGGGTAAACTTAGTTCATGATCTGTCATATCAGAAATTATGGCAGGAATTGCAGACGCTAAGTCTGGACAAAATTTAAGAAACCCTTTGAAATTTTAAATTATGGCGCTATAAAGATAACGCAAAATGACGTCAAAATAGCCACCAGGAAAAGTTAACTCTTTCCTGGATAGGTATGTTTAGTGGGACAAGACTGCCCTCTACAGACCAAATAACTAATTTGCGATCTGGAAGATAACCACACCTCTAGTGCTTCTATTGGGTTATCAACTGATGACGTACAGAGAGTCTGGTCCTTTAAAAGTTAAGACAAAGGGAAGAGAGAGAGATACATGAAATATACACGAAGGAGGCAGATGCAAGATATGCAAAGGAGAAAAGAGAGGAATTGGAAGTTTGGGGACTCCAACCTCCATGCAGAGACACATCCAAATAAATTCCTGAGACTACCAATCGGATGAAATATCTACTCAACTGGTAATTATACTGGTTTCATTTAATTAAATTAAATTAATTAAAATGTATTAATAGCATTATATATGACTGGATAAAGCACGGTCAGATTTCCATATTAAGAAATCTTAGTTAACTAAGAATATATAGTTATAAACATTCCATTCTGCAGGTGGAATTAAGAATAATTATATATTGATGTGATATTATCACGTGTTAGCATACCGCTGTTTTTATCCAGGTGTATTGATTTGCTCTAAATTAAGATAGATATCTTTTAGACAAATTAAAAATCTGCTTATATAATATGTAGATTCTCTTATTGGATTGTTTTCTGGAAATGGCTAATAAACTGGTTTAAATGTTATTTTATTTAAAAATTACATAAGAATAGATCTTAACTACCTAGGAGATCTAGCCAGCATTGAAAGGGTTATTCTAACTGTCTGCTAAACTTTACGACCTTACGCTGCACTCTGAGGAATTCTGTTCTTCACTGTGAAAAGTTTCACTTTCAGCCTGTGTTAAGGATACCTCATAAATCGTAGAAGTCTTGACAGATAATGAGTTAATAGCCATTGAAACGTAATACCCATCTCTTTGTATTGCATACCATTTTATACTGAATATTCATTGATTATTGTCATGCATGTTACATAATATTATTTGTTAATTATTGATTATCATAAATAAAATCTATTTTTATACATTGTGATTATTTATATGAAATACATTCCACTTAACACGATAAACGTTCTTTGGGATCTGAGAATTGAAATAGTGGGCAATTCTCACTGTTACTATTATTATCCCATAAATATCCCCACATATTGGAGGCACGGTGCTGAGATCGTTTAAGTTGAAATTGTATTTCATATATAATAATAATATTGGTGTAATTCATGCAATTTAATCTTAATATAGAAAAGAGTTTTGTATTGAGATTAATCAATAAAATAAAAATAAAAATGGCCAGTGGCAGTGATAAATCTGTAACAGATAATACTGAAATAATTGAAGACCTAAGAAAACATGCTCTAGTTCATATTCATAAACATATGAAAAATGATGCAACCTATGAGGTTTGGTTGAAAAGCATAGAATGGGAAGCTAAACAAACCATTCTAACTGATGAACACATCATCATATATCTTAAAGAAATTGCTGAACAAAAGAACATAGAAAGGAAAATGGCGTACATAATACACTCTTGGCCTTTCTTTATGACAGCACTTCTTAAGGTGTGTGATGAAAACAAGTCATTGAATGCCAAATTGGACACGTACAGTGACGATCTGGGCATTCAAAATGGGAAATACCAAGATTTACTTGCTGAGCATAAAACTCGTCAGGCTGATCATGAAAAAGAAATGGAAGCTTTGATGGATAAATATGCACAGGAAATAAATCAGCTTAAAATGCAATTGGATGAGTATGAAAAGGAGAGTCAGAAATTAGACAGTGAGGTTGGTAGTCATCATTCTGTGCCAAAAAGTTGCACAAAAATGCAAGAAAAGACTATCTGTAAATCCCCTCCTTATTATGATTTTCCCACACCAAACCAGGTTTTCATAAAACAGTCTGTAAGTAAAGGTGTGAGTAATTCTAAAAAATCACCTGTGGAAAAGATTCCCCATCTCATGACATTACCAAGCCACCTTGGCAATCTTGGGCAGAACAGTTTGAAAAAGCTGTCTTGGCCAAACTTGAGAGGGAGAGTCCAATTCAAGATGATAGGAATGAAAACAGACATGGTTCTGTACACTGGCAGGATTCTGATGCTGATCAGAATTGTGACAGTGAACAAGAAGCTCAGAGTGATGGGAGTGAAAGTGATTGCACTGTCCACTCTGAAGGCCATGTAACTGATATGCCATCTGCACTGTTGTACGGGTCTAATTCCTCTTCAGCAGACAGATCGCATAGACGTTTACCCAAACACAGAAACAGAGGTCGTAAATCAACGACGCCTGTTTATGAAACACCAAAGGTCATCAAATTCCTTAGAGAGACTGTCCCACAATTTTCTAGAGGTTCAGGAAACATATCTGAACATCTGGAAAATTATGATAGAGCAATGAATTCATTGGGCATGTATGATGACATTCATAAGAAATGGTTCATTACATGGACCTTTGATTCAATGTGCCGTGTTTATCTAGAAAGTCTTCAAGCTATACAGTTAATGTCCTGGTCCAAGATGAAATATGAAATAATCATGGAATATGGTAAGTATAAAACCATTGCCTCTGCAAAGAAGGCGCTTTATAACTTAAAGTGCCGTCCAGATCAAAGCCCCAGAGAATTTTTAATAATTCTTAAAAATGCATACTCCGTGGCCCAAAGAAAACCCAGGTATGAAAGCACAGATTTCAAAGATCTGTATTTTCATGCCATGCCGGTAAACATACAAATGAATCTCGCAAGAGATTACGATTGTAAGTTACCATTAGAATGGCTAGTCAGTCAGTGTATGAAGTTATACACTATACACCATGCACATGACGAAAATCAGCCAAAGGTTAAGAAACCTGATTATAAAATGGTGTCAGAGACTAAAATTCAGTTAGGTTTAGAAACCCAACAGAAAAAGAGGACCTATTCCGAGGTTTTGAAATCTCCAAAGCCTCAGAAACAGGAAAACGCCAGAAGCAATTCTGCAAATTCCTCCAATAACTCTGAAAGATCCAAAGCCAATGGGAATAAACGCTCCTGGGTTAATGAGAACCAAGGCAATTCCCAATGGAGAAGGAATCCTCAGGGAAATAGGAGATATGGAAACAGAAATAACCAATCTGCTTCCAATAACTCCCAACAGTCTCAGCCATCCCAACCAAATTCTAATGGGCAAAGACAAAACGGCAATGGGGGAAATAATTTGCGTCGTCAGGTTGGTCAATTGACAGACCAGATGGGCAAATTAATGGAGGAAATGACAAAGATTAACCAAGTCTTTGCTCTCAATCCTTTTTTAGGGATAGCTCCAATTGCAGAACTACCTGTGCAACCGCAGCAACAACAACAGGTGCCGCAGCAATAATAGCCACTGTGACTAAACAGGCTAGGTTATCAGTAGATGTAATACCTAACCCTGTTTCCTTTCCAAGTACTAACAGTCAAACAAACAATAGTTGTGTTAGAAAACCTATTGCCTATACCGTCACTTCACTTCCGGGTGAAGGAGGCGCGACGTGTTCCTCTGTTTTTTCATTTCAGCCAAAGGCTAAAATAGCCCCAGCAGCCACAAGTTTCCAGGATCCAGACCTGAAAGGGTTAACTGATGAGATGCCGACCACTAGTTCCCGCTTGACAGTTCAAGATATTCCTAAAAAGGATGGGCCTGTGGGTAAGACTGAGCATTCCTCAGTACAGGTAGAAACTACTGCTGTGACCGGTAATGTATGGAAAACAAGTAATATGTTGACACATTCTAAATTCTTATGTGAATTAGAAGAACATGAAGGAAGGTACTACATGTCTGTAGAAATACA